GGGGTTTCACCATGTTGACCAGGATGGTCTCGATCTCTTGACCTCGTGATCCACCCGCCTCGGCCTCCCAAAGTGCTGGGATTACAGGCTTGAGCCACCGCACCCAGCCCTACCTCAGAATCTTCTAGCAAATCTGAGTGGCATTCTAGCCTTCCTCCAGCATCGAATACATGTATTTTCTAAGCTAATCTGGGCTCATAGACTACCCCCATCCCAGAGCAGACACCTAAAAGTAACACTGAATGGGGTGTTGACAATGCTAGAGGAGAATAGAGACAAAAGGGTGGGGAGGATGGGAAAGCCCAGGTCCAGGGCTGGCCTGTGAACCTATGGGAAACAGCTACCACGAGAGAGAAAGGTGGAAAGTCAGGGCCAGCTCTGACATCACCTGCCAGCCACCTCCCTGTTGATGGCCTCTTGCCCAACCACAGAGGACGGAAAGAGAAAAGCCCGGAATGGGTGGCCATGAGACCCATGGGCAGCCCTCCCCTTTGCAGTGGGGTTGCTTCTGCCCTTGGGGTCCCACTCTTTTCTTTAGGCTCCAGCTTCCCTGTGTCAACCAGAGCCTGACTGTCCTGTTGCAGGTATGACCTTCAAATCCGCTACTTGCCGGAAGACTTCATGGAGAGCCTGAAGGAGGACAGGACCACACTGCTTTATTTTTACCAACAGGTAAAAAGTACTTTATCTTCCTGCCCGAGACTCCCATTGCACCTTAAATGCCAAGCATCAACCATCCTCTCCTAGGGAAATGGAAAGATAAAAGCCCAGATTCCGGAGGGCCCAAGCTAGGAAACTTCTCTTGAAGAAGGTTCTAGGTCTATGGTCAGCGGCGCCAACCCCACTTCTCTCTCAGTATTTAATGACTGGGTAAACTGCCCGGTATGCTCCCAGCTCCTTTTGGACTTTTCTTTTGGCCCAGGAGACCTGGCTAGTGAAGCCGCAAGAGCAGGTCCAGGATGAAGCCTGCAGTGCTTACTGCACAGCTCTGCCATTCACTAACCTGAGAGCCCCAGGGGACCTCATTTACCTGCATGAAGCTGTTTCCTCTGCTATAAAATTACTATGGGAATTATAATAATAATACTTACTTTATAGGGTCGTTTGTAGAGACCAGATGGTATTATTGGCTGGTAAATTGGCTCTCCAAACAAAACTTCCCTGACATGTAGTGCTTGCCTATTTATTTATTTCAGTAGGTTTTTTGGGGGGAACAGGTAGTGTTGGTTACATGAGTAATTTCATTAGTGGTGATTTCTGAAATGTTGGTGCACTCATCATCCAAGCAGCATTCACTGTACCCCATGTGTAGTCTTTTATCCCTTACCCCTCTCTCACCCTTCCCCACAAGTCCCCAAAAGTCCATTGTATCATTTTTTTTTTCATTTATTTATTTTATTGCATTTTAGGTTTTGGGGTACATGTGAAGAACATGCAAGATTGTTGCATAGATACACACATGGCAGTGTGATTTGCTGCCTTCCTCCCCATCACCTACATCTGGCATTTCTCCCCTTGCCATCTCTCCCCAGCTCCCCACCCCCCACCGTCCCTCCCTTATTTCCCCCTAACTGACCCCAGTGTGTAGTGCTCCCCTCCCTGTGTCCACGTGTTCTTGCATCGTCATGGTTAGCTCCCCCTTGTGGGTGAGAACATATAAAGTTGGTTTTCCACTTTGGAGTTACTTCACTTACAATACTGGTCTCCAACTCCATCCAGGTGGCTGCAAATGCCACTATTTAATTCCTTTTTATGGGACTTGCCAATTCCTATGGTGTAAATACTCCCCCACCGTGGCCTATTTCAAGCTATCAGTTAGGACATCTACTTGCTCACAAAACTTCTGAAAACTTAACAACCAGCTCTCAGCAGCTGTTCTGAGCATCTCTGACTTCCGGACAGAATGTGTGTGGAGTGCCAAGCCCAGCACCAGGTGCAGAACGAAGCACAGCATCAACAGGAGCGGTCGTTGTTGTCTTCTGTCTGGTCTTACGTCCCTCCTGGTTTGCTAGACACTGAGCTAGACTTTTCTTGACCTGTGGATGACATTTATCACTATTTACCAACAGGGCTTTGGATAAATTACTGACTCCTTGCAAAATCAGTTTCCTTCTGTCCAAAATGGGGGATGAGGGGGATCTGAACTTCCTGCCTATGGAGCAGGGAGAGAATGCCTGTAAAAGCACCTCAAAAACCTCACAGCCTTGGCCTGTGGAAGCTCAGGTACCCCTTCCCTCATGCTCTCCATCCCTGCTCTAAGTTTGTTTGCGGTGGGGTGGGTAGCTGTTGCTTAGGGAGCCAGAATCAGGCCCTTCATCTTCTGGGGCCTCTGTTCAGGGAAACGGGGGCCAGGGAGGTGGTGAGGGTGCAAGTCTGATGCTTGGCGTTTCTCCCCACCAGCTCCGGAATGACTACATGCAACGCTATGCCAGCAAGGTCAGTGAAGGCATGGCCTTGCAGCTGGGCTGCCTGGAGCTCAGGTATGTGGCCTCAAGGCCTCTGCTGGGAGGGTGCTGTGCTGGGCTTTGGGCCGAGCTCTGGACTGGCCCAGCCTTTCCCCACGTCCAGGATGGGAAACAGTAATAAGTATGTGAGAATCAGGAAGGGGAAAGGTGGTGACCAGCAGCAGGTGAGGCTCTGAGGGGCTGCGTGTCTGGTCCTCGGGATGGCAGGGGTGGGAGGGCCAGCCCCCTCCCTAGATGCACTCTCCTGGCTTCCTTTGCTGCCACTGCTCTTGCCTGTAGGCTGCTGGGTTTTTCCGTCTGTCAGTCACCTCTGCTGCTGTTCGAGTGATTCAGCAGATGCTTTTTGTCACCAGGCTAGGATCTGGGGGACATTTGAACCTAGAGATGTCAATCTGTGTTGCCATTGCTGTATCCCCACTTCCAGTAGGCACTTGAACAATATGTTTGGAATCAGTACATCATCCAGAGAGGCCCTCACATTTCCATGTTGGGGGGGTGACAGATGTGTATACAATTAATCATAATACGAGGCTGAATGCAGATGGCGCCGATATCCGTGTAGGAGTCATTCATCCTGTCCAAGGGCATCAGCAAGTGGGTATCTGAACTGCTCCTGGAAGGAGGAGAAAGGTTTCAATCAGCAGAGAACAGGGTCAGGGGAGAAACACTCTAGGCCCAGGGATCAGCGGAAGGAAAAGCATAGACTGGAGAATCGCGAGGTTGGAGCGGTAAGTTGGGGCTGATGTTGGGAGACACCATTGGTCCAATGGCAGTCCAGTGGTATCATTAGAATGATATAATTAGAATGACAGTCTAAAAAATTAGGCTTCTTGGCTGCCATGGGGTCATTGCCATTTGGGACTGAGGAGGGTGATGTGGCTCACCTGTGCTCTACCCTGCCATGACCAGTGCAACGCCATTGGGTTTCACCATGCCCTGCCATTCTACCCTCTCCTCTGCTTCTCTCTACCCCTTCTCTGCCTTAGAGCAGTGGTTTCAACGTCTGCTTACAAATCATAATCACCTGGGAGCTTAATAAACTAGAAGTGTCCTGCCCCTACCCTAGGGAGATTTGATCTGGCAGACCTGGGTAGAACCTTATCCTAGACATTTTTTACCTCCCCCACCCCAGGTGACTTGAATACCATTAGTCATATGGGTTGAGGGGAGGACTTTCAGGATGACTGCCAGGAAAATCGTTAGCCAAGGATTACTTCCTGTTTTCTGGAACTGCATTTCCGGAGCCTTATCTGTGACCTCGCGGTTAAATAGAGAGTAGAACTCTGCTACCACTTCTACAGAATGGGGGGCACTGGGGAATTCTGGCCCCTTAATGAATCTCAGAGGGAATGCTGAGGGGTACCCCAGTGGGGGCAGTGGGATGGGAAGGGGAGGGTCCCACTTTGATTTCAGCATCTGAGGCTGTTGGCATTACTGATAGAGTAGGTCAAGGGTAGCTTTGAGGGCTTCATATTTGGTTACTTTGTCTCAACAAGCAAGGGAGCGTTCATCCCTGCAGCTGCTTAGAAGGCATCCCAGCTCGCTGCCATTAGTAATAATCTTGGGAGCTTGGTGCTGGCAGACCAGGGGCAGTCTGTGAAGTTTATTTTATTATCTGTGCTTTTTATGCCTTCTGAGACCACTCGGCTCCTATGAGCTGCATTACATCCTATCCAGTCTTATTTTCCCCTCTAAAATCAGACAAGTTGAAAATGCTTATCTTTACCGTTTTATTTATGGATCTCATACCCAGGATGCTAGTATCACTTTGACACACCCATCACTTGTCACCTGTCAAGTAGTCATCACTTAGTTGTAAAACAGCACCACAAAGACCCATTAACATTCTATTTTGTTTTATTATATCCTCCAATCACCCCCAAACTATTTCTGCTGGTGGCCTAAGTGCCAGGCGCTGCACTAATGTATTGGAGAACAGGGCGAGGCATCCAGTGTGACTCCTGTAGGTAGTATTGTCATGAGTATGACTGCAGATACCTGCTGTCTAACCAACGCAGGATGATTCTAAAAGCCACACTTGTTTTGTGCAAGAGACACATTGTTTCACGTCTCCTGAGTGTGAGGAACAGAGTCAGAGAGATGTTCCTATTCTTACTGGTTGACCATTGAAGTGCAGGGTATATGATATTAGGGAGAGGTTATGAAGAACACCTGTTTTATGAACCTAATAGAAGATTTGCAGGTCTAATAATTTTTAAAGCTGAATGCAATTATTTGTTATGATGAGCTATTTTAAAGTCAAGTTACAACTGTTTGGCACCAAGAGAGACTTGGACACATTTTGGAAAATCAGAGTATAAGGCAGAATTTTCTAGGGCTGTGGCTCTGGTCTGAAAATGTCCCAGGGTGTGGGGTTACCTACAAATCATGAGCAATAATCCCTTGTACTATTAGCATCATTGATTATGTCACCTACCTGTAGATACATGGCATCTCCAGGAAAAAATACTATATTATTTCCTAGCTTAAAAAAGAGATATGATGTAGGCCTGAGACATGAGATATGTGAAATGAATCTTCAGGGGAGTCCTGAGTTTCCTGTGTTACTCTGGGCAAGTCAGTTAATCTCTCTCTCTGCCTGGATTCCTTCATTTGTAAAATAGGAATGATAATAGTTACATTATAGTAACATTACATTACTATATAACATTTGTTATGCTATATAACATATAATAATATATTCTGTTACTATATAGCACATGTTTTACTATATAGCATGTTTTACTATATAACATATATGCTACTGTATAATATGTATAATATGTATGTTATGTTACTATACAATAGTAACATAACAAACCTTGCGGGGTTGTTACAAAGAATGAATGAGTTAATGTATTTAAAGTACTTAGAACAATGGCAGGGACCAAAGTATTCAATAATTATTTATTATATTTTACTTATTTTTTTCTTTACCCTTCTTTTGTTTATTTTGAATAGACTTTATTTTTCAGAGAAGTTTTAGGTTCACAGCAAAATTGAGCAGAAGGTACAGAGTTCCTATGCACCCCCTTCCCCACACATGCCCAGCCTCCCCACTCTCTACATTCCCCACCAAAGTGGCGCATTTATTACAATTGATAAACTTACATTGACACATCATTATTACCTAAAACCTGTAATTTACGTTAGGGTTCACTCTTGGTGGTGTATGTGCTGTGAGTTTGCCTAATTGTATAATTACTTATATCCACCATTATAGTGTTGCACAGAGTAGTTTCACTGCCCTAAAAATTCTCTGTACTCCACCTATCCATCCCTCCTTCCCTCGAACCCTGGCAACCATTGATCTTTTTATTGTTGCCATAGTTTTGCCTTTTCCAGAATGTCATATAGTTGGAAAGATACCTAGTTAATTTTATTCATTTACTGGAGATGCTTTGTAAATGTCAAATGTTTTCTCTAAATAGTACCTCAAAATGAAAGTCTGAAATTCATGGCCCCTATGCTAGAAATCAGTATCTGCCCAGTTTGAGGAACCAAATAACTTCTCCCCCTTGACCTGAGACACCTAGGACCATTGCCTACCCCCAGCAGAGCGTGCATGTGCGCACACACACACACACACACACACACAGAGTGAATGTGTAACCCCAGATTAGTTAAGTAGAAACTGATAATAAATAGTAGAGAAAGAACACACAGCTTGCTTTGCTTCAAAATGCATCTTGGCTTGTAGTTAATTTCTGTTGATGTTTAGAAGAAAAAAGTAACCAACTGGATTTAGCTGTTTAGTTGGTTTAGTTGTTTCCTTATTTTCTGCCGCCCTTACCTGGGTATCAGTCATAGGCCTGTATTTGATTGTAGGTGCCACTGCCGTCCACCTGATGTTAGCTACTCAAAATTACAGGCTTGGGCTGGGGGGACCAGCCAGGCACTAGAGGGTGCTCCAGGTAGGCACAGCCTTGCTCAGTGACTGCGGGTGGGGCAGATTTGGGAGACCTGGGTGCCCCTGGAGAGCAGCTGAGATGATTGGGAGGCTAACTTGCTGGAGAGAGCATTGTCTCCGGTCAGTGTTGGTTACTAGTTCTCCCAGACATTCCCAATATGTTCAGTTGCTCCAAATGTTAGAAACACACAGATTGTGGCATATCTGAGTGATTGGACACTTTTGTTCATGGTAACCATGTAAATGATCTTCGATGCCTGAGAGAAGGGTCATCGGGGACACAGGGAGTGGGTTAAGCAAGCTGGGTCCAGGGGATTGGGATGATCTCAGTGTGCTAGCTGAGCTTCCTTTATCCTAATAAAACATTTTTCCATTCACTACCTCCTTGATCATGCTAAAGTGCTGTTATTTTTATGTTCTTCAGTTGCTCAGTGTTAATTTCAAAATGTTTACCTTTTCATTTAGCTAACCGTGTTTTTGAAAATTTAATATTTAAGTATCCCAGTCTTCCAAATTCTTTCTTCGCAAGTCTCAAAGTTCATTTATACACTCAGCAACAGATCATAAGACTGGCGTGGCTTTAGGAGACCACTCTCCTTTGTGGCTGGGAAGCAGATCTCACCCCATGGGTGGGCAATGCATTCCCCCTGCCTGGCACACTCTTCTCATTTCCGTTTTCAGCCTAGTAAACTCTTCTATCTTCTGGCAGCCTTAGAAAATGTACTGAGCTTGTGTTACCTGCTTGTCCTCTGCATACGTAGGAAACCTCAGCATGAGCCTATGAGGTGTCAATTGCAAGCAGTGTGACCATCTGCTGTCCTCATCAAGCCAGCCTAAGGGTCTCTTCGTCTCGAAGCCCTTTCTGTGCTATCCAGACCCCGTCCAGCCTCCTTTGCAAAACCACCTTGCACCCAGCTCTGGGAGGCAATGACATGTGCCCATGCACCAGATTGTGAAATTCTATCAAATCCTTAGAATCAGAACTGGTGTTGCCTTTGCCTGGCACATATGGACTCAATACATAGTTGAAGGAATGGATAACTCTGAAATAACTGAAATCCTCTTCCTCAGTGGATCTTTGCCAACATTTATTCTGTTAGAATTCAATAGTGTACAGCAAGCCAATGTGTTCAGTTACCTGGGAGTATATTTTATGGCTCACTCAACTCAGGGGCACTGCAGATGACCAGCCTGCCTGTAGTCACCCTGAGGTTTCTTAAGAATGTGTAGGTTGAGCAGCTAACACTGGCATGAAACGTTTCTAAAGCTGCCGTGGTCAATCGTATGGAACTTTGGGATCTTAACTGCAGGCACACTTCAGGTGGGAGGAGGAAGAGGAGGCGGAGCTTCCATCCAGGGGAGAATCCTGAGTAGACTTCTCATGTCCTTTACCTCAGTGGCCCCCAACCTTTTTGGCACCAGGGACCAGTTTCATGGAAGACAATTTTTCCTTGGAGTGGGGCATGGTTTCAGAATGATTCAAGAGCATTACATTTATTGTATACTTTATTTCTATTATTATTACATTGTAATATATAATAAAATAAATGTACAACTCACCATAATGTGGAATCAGTGGGAGCCCTGAGCTTGTTTTTCTGCAACTAGATGGTCCATCTGGATGTGACAGGAGACAGTGACAGGTCATCAGGCATTAGATTCTCATAATGAAGGTGAAACCTAGATCCCTCACATATACGGTTTACAATAGGGTTCATGCTCCTATGAGAATCTAATGTCGCCACTGATCTGACAGGAGATGGAGCTGGGGACAGCTGTAAATACAGATGAACCTTCAGTCACCCACTGCTCACATCCTGCTGTGCGGCCTGCTTCCTAACAGGCCACGGACCAGTACTGGTCCGTGGCCTGGGGGTTGAGGATCTTTCCCATACCTGAATGTCATCCCTATCTCCCAGTCTTCAGGTTCCCAATTCTGCGCATCTGCCCTTAGTCAGCAAGCACATCCTGTCTCAGGCACCATCACTTACCTTGCTCTGTCAGACACCCAGTAGAGAAAAGTCAGGGTAGGGAAGAGCCCATCTTCTTAGTTTTCTAAGTTCTCTTCTTGGATCAAATTCCTAGGGTTTTCTAGCCTCACTACTAGTAACATTTGGGGCTGGATACTTCTTTGTTAGCAGGGAGGGGTGGGCTTCCTGTGCATGGAAGGATGTTTGGCAGTATCCCTGGCCTCTACCCACTTGATGCTCGCAGCACCACCATCCCCTACTCCGACTAGGATGTGATAACCAAAACTATCTCCAGACATTGCCCATTGTTTCAGGCTGGGGCACAGAGTGTAAAATTGAGATTGTATTTGTTAAGAGGTAACTACTTACTTCGTTTGACAATGTATTCAAAGACACCATTTATTTAAAATGTTTAAGGATATAGCATTTTATGTTTTACTTTTTTATTGGGTATTTCCTCTATGATTTCATGCCTTGAGGGTCTTCCTTTTCATTTTTTTGAGATGGAGTTTCACTCATCACCCAGGCTGGAGTGCAATGGTGTGATTTTTGGCTCACTGCAACCTCCGCCTCCCAGGTTCAAGCAATTCTCCTGCCTCAACCTTCCCAGTAGCTGGGATTACGGGCGCCCGCCACCATGCCTGGCTAATTTTTTGTAATTTTAGTAGGGATGTAGAGTTTCACCATATTGGCTAGGCTGGTCTCGAATTCCTGACCTCAGGTGATCTGCCCACCTTGACCTCTCAAAGTGCTGGGATTACAGGCATGAGCCACTGCGCCCAGCCTTGAGGGTCTTCTTGATCCCATAACTTGGAAATATTTTTCTAGATTATTTTTTCTGGTTTGAAAGCAGTTTTTTTTTAACTGACCTCTATCTTTTAATGCATAAGAATAACCATTTTAGACAGAGTATGTGGTAAGGATCTAACCTTCCTATTTTCTAAACACAGTGAACTGTCCGAAAGTCATTGCTTTTGAATTGTAAGTTACTTCCCTCCCTCTGCTTATAGTATTAGTTGCACAAAACTTTTCCCACACATTTATAAGGATCCCTGAATTAAAGGAATACTGAATAACTCTAATACACGATCAGGAGAAGGATAATGTCTGCAGCAGTCAATGAAATTACTAGACACAGTGACACAGAGAGGGAAGGGAGGCTGGCACATGTGAGGACATTAGCTATTTGGTCTCAGCTTAAGACACAATTGCATAAAAATATTTATCAAAGCATACATTTTTAGGGGAAATGAGACGTAAAGAATATAAGTAAAATATTAATATATTTTAGTTAATACATTATGGTTAATCATGGTACAACTATGAATAATTTTATTTTCTTCTTCTGTTATGTAAGTGCTAAAGTTTTCATATGTACAGTACTACATTTAACAAGTATCTAAATGAACACACAAACACACACACATATGGTATCTAAGAAATAGCAAATAAGTGAAAAGGAAATCACAAGAGCCCCCCAGGATCTGCAGGTGGAGGTCAGTGTTCCTAGGCTGATCATTCAACATGGGCTGCCATGGGTCTTTGTTTTTAGAGGTCACAGATGGAGCCGCCATCTTCCTCCTCAGCCTAGTCAGCCTAGTATCTGCCCATTCCTAGAGTGGGCTTCCTAGGATTCGAGGCTGGAGTCTTTTCTAGGAATGAAATTTGTAGGGTTTGCTTTTCCTCATAGGTCAAAATACCAAATTTTATGACTCTCCTAACTTTCTTTCTCCTGGGGACCCCCACATATGGCAGGGGAAAGGGGCTTCTAGTGGCATGAGGTTCTGGGTCTGACTGCCTCATTCTCCAGCCTTCAGCCCCCTCTTCACCCCCTCTTTCTCCAGGCGGTTCTTCAAGGATATGCCCCACAATGCCCTTGACAAGAAGTCCAACTTTGAGCTCCTGGAGTAAGTTCTGGGATCACCTGCCTCCCCTTCCTCCCTGTCCCTCCATGTGTTCTTCTCCTCCTCACCCTCTCCTCCACCCCTCCCCAGACCAGAGCCACACAGGGCCCCTCTCCAGGTCCCAAAGCCTTCTCACCTCTTCCTGAGTGGCCCATAGTCCTGGGGTGGGGGTAGGGGGAGTCACATGGTGCCTTTTTCTTCCTTCTTGCAGAAAAGAAGTGGGGCTGGACTTGTTTTTCCCAAAACAGATGCAGGAGAACTTAAAGGTGAGAAAACCAATGGGTGGGGACCTCTTTGAGCTGATTCCCAAGACTAGAGTGGAAGGGTGAGGCTGCAAATACTCAGAGAAGCCAGGCATCTGCACAGCCTTGGGCGTTTGGACACAGGACCACTAAATGCACCCAGGGGTCCTCTCCGGGTGGGAATCCAGCTGTGACATGCCTGGGCTCCCACTCTGCATCGGGGCCTTATCAGCTCTGTGGCCTAAGCGCTGGGAAGTTGCTACCTCCTGCCCCCTGCACCTCACTCATATGGTTATAGTGAGTCTCTCTTGAGACAGTGGGTATGTGTTTTAGGTCATAGATCACAGCTGCTCTTGGGGCAAAGATCCTGGGGACCATTTTCGAGCAGTGGGCAGTCTCTCGGTGAGACCCTAAGGGAAAGAGTGAGAGCTGGGAGAAGCAGGTCTCCGTCACACTGCCCATCCCCTCCCCCAGCCCAAACAGTTCCGGAAGATGATCCAGCAGACCTTCCAGCAGTATGCCTCGCTCCGGGAGGAGGAGTGTGTCATGAAGTTCTTCAACACCCTCGCAGGCTTCGCCAACATTGACCAGGAGACCTACCGCTGTGAACTCATTGTAATGACGGGCTCTCTTGATCCTCTCCCTGACCTGGATTCCAGGCCTCTCAGGAAAGGGGGTGGGGGGAAGGGAGAGGCTGCAATCGCTGCAGATTCTCAGGCAGCAGGACCTCGCTAACCTGCCGACACAGAAGTCACGGGCATCACCTTGCCTGAAGTAGGCGCTAAAATGTTGGCCTCCAGCTCTGCGGGGGCAGGCAGGACAGGAAAGAGGTCAGGAGGGGAAAATCAGTATGGCCAGGGTTTTGGGGGAAGGAGCTGGAGACCCAGGAGACAGTGGCCTGTGTCTAGCTTAGGGAGCTTTTCTTTAAGTTTCTGAAGAATGGGGAGGGCAACTCTGGGACAACAGTCCACTCTCCTTTTATTCCAGCAAGGATGGAACATTACTGTGGACCTGGTCATTGGCCCTAAAGGCATCCGCCAGCTGACCAGCCAGGATGCAAAGGTAGAGAGACCGCGGGCAGCCCCACCCAGCTCCAGGCAGGGAGATCTTCCCCTCTTTGCTGCCTCCCCCTGTCTGCCCCTTTGGGTCTTCTTGCCCCCATTGATGAGAGCAGAGTCCTCCTAAGGCCATGCCCTGGCGTGAGCAGCAGTGGAGAGCGTTTAGAGACGGCAGCATGGGGCAGATGGCTCTTTACATCCCCATGACTGTCATCTGCACAGAGATGGCAGGAGCAGTAGACAAGGCCGCCATGATTACTCTCCGAGCTCAGCAGTGTCTCTCTTTCAGTGACAATATGGGACATAATACCCCTGGAAGTCAGGGGACCTGGGTCCAGTTATGACTCCACCACCAGCTTTGCACATGACCTTGAGCAAGTCTTGGCTTTCTCTAGACCTCATTTTCTCCTTGGCATGGGAGGGGCTTGGTCTAGATGAAGCTTGTGGTCCCAGGACGGCTTTGAATACAGCCCAACACCAATTCATAAACTTTCTTAAAACATGGTGAGATTTTTTTGTGCAATTTTTTTAAGCTCATCAGCTATTGTTAGTGTTAGTGTCTTATGTGTGGCCCAAGACAATTCTTCTTCTTCCAGCGTGGCCCAGGGAAGCCAAAAGATTGGATACTCCTGAACTAGAAGATCCTTCTAGGCTTAATAGTCTGATTCTCTCTTCATTTCCCAGAGAAACTCCCAGTTCCTCCTCAGCCCAACTCCCCCATACTGACCAGTCTGCACAGCCCAATCCTAGCACTGGGGTGGTCTGAAGCTCCCCCTTCTTTTCCCACAGCCCACTTGCCTGGCCGAGTTCAAGCAGATTAAGTCCATCAGGTGCCTCCCGCTGGAAGACGGCCAGGCGGTGCTGCAGCTGGGCATTGAAGGTGCCCCCCAGGTGAGTGTCTCTGGGCACCTGGCAGCTCTGCAGGGGTTCTCACAGCAGGTTGGGAGCTCTTGATCAGGCCAAAAGTCCATGGCACCAAGTTCTTGGACGAAATGTACCAGGATGGTGATCAATTATAAGAAAATTTGGGAAAGAACTTTTGTAATGCCAGGAAGGAAACTGGGAAGGTCTTCAGCTGGTGGAACATTCAAGGTGAGCAGAAATCGGGTACAAATCACAGGTCTAAGTTTTACCAAGGGAACAGTGATGTGGAAATCAAAAACATGGTTTGGTTTTTGTTTGTTTGTTTGTTTGGCAATAAAACAGGCTGCAGGGCATTCATCTCTCTCTCCGTTCACCCATCTCTGCCCTTGCCCCATTGCCTCCCCCAACTTTTCTTTTCTTTTTTTTCTTTTATTCTTTCTTTCTTTCTTCCTCTATCTCTCTCTCTCTCTTTCTTTTTTCTTTCTTTTTTTTTAGACAACGTCTCACTCTGTCACCCAGGCTGGAGTGCAGTGACACAGTCTTGGCTCACTGTAACTTCCGCCTCCTGAATTCAAGCGATTCTCCTGCCTCAGCATCCTGAGTAGCTGGGATTACAGGTGCCTGCCACAAGGCCCAACTAATTTTATACTTTTAGTAGAGACAGGGCTCCGCCATGCTGGCCAGACTGGTCTCAAACTCCTGACCTCAGGTGATCTGCCTACCTCAGCCTCCCAAAGCGCTGAGTTTAGAGGCGTGAGCCACTGCGCCCAGCCCCTCTTCCATTTTCTCAGTTTCTGCTTCTGTTTATTGAGCATCTACCAGGCATCATGCTATGTACTCAGAGGCTAAAATGAGTGAGGCCAGGGACTGGCCTTTGGAGAACGTGGACATACAGGTGAAAGGGGTGATAGAGTCAGCCTGGACTCCAGGGCAGGGCCCCAGGGGAGAGGTCCAGACAGCACTGGCATCCAGGCAAGGGTTGTAGCAGGGTGCTGCTGTCTCTTCTTAAGCCGTGGGGGTGATCTCTAACCAGGGCTCCGGGGTCTCACCCTTGGCCGGTCTCTGCTCTGCAGGCCTTGTCCATCAAAACCTCGTCCCTGGCAGAGGCTGAGAACATGGCTGACCTCATAGACGGCTACTGCCGGCTGCAGGGGGAGCACCAAGGCTCTCTCATCGTCCACCCTAGGAAAGGTGGGTTTCATTTAAACATAAAGTGACTGAACCATGGATGGCAGCACAGCCGAGTCCCCAGAGGTGGAGGGGCAGAAGCCAAGCCACTGACAGATAAGTGAATGAGGAAGCTTCCCTGACAGCCCACAGGAAGCTTCCAGTGGGCCCATCTTGGGCTGTAAGCCCTGGCCAGTCCACTACCTGCCCTGCTAGTCAAGGTCCACATAGAGGCAGCTTCTGGAGTAGAGGCATGTTAGCCCAGCAGGCTCAAAGGCATTGCTAGAACAAGGCCGGTCCCGCCTGTGCGTGTCTCCATCTTGGGGTCAGATTCAGGAAGTAGGGGTCCCAGCTGGAGCATGTGAAATCTGGCCCAAGGCAGCCTCCAAAGAGGATTTCAGTTCTGGCCCAAGGCCTCCCCAGCTCCCAGGCTAGGAGAGAATGGAATTAGGCGGTGGGGTGGGAGGAGAGTCCCTTGTAGGAATACTAAGGAGGTCAGTCACCCACCCACACCCCTGTGTCCCCAGTTCCAACCTCCTCTATCCTCCTCTCTTCCTAGATGGCGAGAAGCGGAATAGCCTGCCCCAGATCCCCATGCTGTGAGTATGGTGGGGTGCAGAAGACAGGGCCCTGGGCTCAGCCAGTGCTGCAGAGAGGAAGAAGAACAAGCTGGGAGTCCCCACCTCCATAGTTTCTGGCTTTCGGGCCCAGGAGAACACTGAAAAAGAATGATCTTTTCCTCCCAGTAAATACCTGCAGGAATATTCCTATGCCTTCATGCCACCTGGTGTTATCCTGGGGAGTCACTGCTGTCCCCCAGCTCCAGTCCCAGGCAGCCTGGGCTGTGCTCCCAGGTCCTTGCTAATCTGAGCAGACTGCTTCTCCACAGGGGGTGGGAGGAGAGGGCAGGCTGAGGCTGCCCAGGGGAGCATTGCAGGGCTCCGAGCTCACCTGGCTTCTGCCTTCTCACCTCCTACAGAAACCTGGAAGCCCGCCGGTCCCACCTCTCAGAGAGCTGCAGCATAGGTGAGCCGCCTGCTGTGTACTCGGCCTGCTCCAGTGGCCTCCCATCTGCTTGCTCCTCGCTGATTGCTCTCATGATATTGTCAAGGGCATCTCAAGTTACAGAAAAACAACTCTCCCCCATAGCTTCTTAATGATCGCTTTAAAATATCATGAATTGTAATAGCTCCTGTGTATTGAGTAGTTAGTACATGGCACCATGTTTATCTTAGGCAGCTTGGGCTACCATAACCAAATACCGTAGACTGGGTGGCTTAAAACCAGAAGACTTTATTGCTGACAGGTCTAGAGGCTGGAAGTCCAAGATCAAGGTGCTGGCAGAGTCTGCATCCAGTGAGTGCTTTCGTCCTCATTTGCAGACAGCTGTCCTTTGACTGTGGGCTCCTGTGATGGAAAGAGAGCACTGGTCTCTCTTCTTCTGCTTACAAGGGCACGGATCCCATCATGGGCGCTCCACCCTTATGACCGTACCACCTCCCAAAGGCCCCACCTCCTAATTCCACCCATCACCTGGGGAGTTGGGGCTTCAACAAAGGAATCTGGGAGGTACACAAACATCCAGTCTCTAATGGTATTAAACATGCAACAGGTATTATTTGATTCAACCTTTACAGCATCCCCCAGGATGCACTTCACAGAAAGGGAAACTGAGATTGAGGGGGATGAGTCAACTTGCCCTAAATAATGCAAGTCAGGCAGCAGAGAGTAGGCGCTTAAGCCGAGGTGCCCTGGTCTCCGTGGCCACGCTGAAGCTTGGGGTGGGAGATAGGACATGTCTGGCTTCTCCTGCTCCCTTGGCCTCCACTGGCCTCCAGCAGGAGTCCCACACCTGATTCCTGGCGGTGCTCACTGAGAGCATCTTGTCTGTGGCTTGACCTCTTCCTGCCATTCCAGAGTCCGACATCTATGCAGAGATTCCCGACGAAACCCTGCGAAGGACCGGAGGTAGGTTCTTCTCCTTGCCTCCCCCCGCCCCCCCCCCACAGCAATCAAAGGCAGGGCCCTGTGACATCACTGCAGGGAACATTCTTTTCCTCCTTTATCCTCCCTTTGTGTGAGGCTTAGATGGTGGCAAACCTGAGATGCCTTGGATTTGAAAGCTGAGATGCTTTTTTTTCTCCCTATACTGATTGATCTTTTGTGAGCCCATGGAGCTGTGTGGGGATTCTAATAACTCGGACCTGGGACCCAGCCTTCAGAGGGAGCAGGGTGATGGCTCCTCCCTGGGTCTGAGACGATGGAACATTCTAGACCTCTGTTTCCCCAGCCCAGCCCCTGGACCTTGGCTGAGGTGGTGTTGGTCTGGCGATGCCTGGCGTTACAGCCTGCAGACACTCGGGTTCCCCGGCGGATGCCACTGGTCTCTGTGCTCTGCGACTGTTTTCTCCATCTGTGCAGGTCCACAGTATGGCATTGTCCGTGAAGATGTCGTCCTGAATCGTATTCTTGGGGAAGGCTTTTTTGGGGAGGTCTATGAAGGTGTCTACACGAATCACGTGAGTTCCAGGCTCTTCCCTGTCACTCCTCTTCCACGTGTCTGTAGGATGAGCCAGAGCTCGAATCTGAGCAGGTTGGAGTTGGCGCAGCCTTCATCCACTCGGAGCCCTTAGGGCCCCTTGTCCACAGGGTGTGGCGGTATTTATTAAATACTAAGAGAATAATGGAGACGAGTCATTTCCAAGAAGGGTATCAAAATACCAGGGATGGAGATACAGGCAGAACCTGGAGAAGGGTCACTGATTCTTGGTAGGAGAACACAAAGCAGGTGGCGGGGTAAAGACAGTTCTGAGAAAAGACGAGGCAGGATCTAGAGTTACTGTCAAGGCCTCTGACGGGGCAGGGCAAAGCAGACAGCTGTGGTCACGCTGCTAGCAGGCCCGGGGAAAGGCCAAGCAGAAAGAAAGAGGCAGCAAGAATGTAAAATCTAATGATGATGAGAGAGAGAAAGACCCAGCCCCCACACATGATAATGACCTGCAGGTGGCCCTGGCTTTGGGCAGGTCACACAGCCTCTCAATCTCAGTGTCCTCAGCCGGATGGACAGGGGCTTGTACCATTTGACCACTAAAGCCCTTTTCACTTCTAACAGACCCTGATCAAGAAGAAGGGGAGCAGGGAAGGAGAGGAGAGGAAGAGAAAGAGGAGAACAGAGACATAGGAGAAAGGGGCCTCAGCTGGCAGGGATGTCTGCAGGAGGCCATGGGGAGGCCGGGAGGGAACACTGCTGAGCGCTGGGCTGGACCAAGGGGTTCAGAACACACTGTTGTTGCAGAAAGGGGAGAATATCAACGTAGCTGTCAAGACCTGCAAGAAAGACTGCACTCTGGACAACAAGGAGAAGTTTATGAGTGAGGCAGGTAGGGACCCCTTGGACCAACCAGGCCTCCAAGATGGGAGGGGCTTGGGCCCAGGAAGGGATGGGGGAACAGTGCAGGGACCCACATTGGAGGAGGGCTCCCGTTCCCCCAGCTGGAAGAACAGAGGCCTTTGCTCAATTAGACCTTTGAGCAGCTCCACCCGTCCCTCTTGCCTGCCCCCCCCTCACCCCCCCACCACTGCAGTGATCATGAAGAACCTGGACCACCCACACATCGTGAAGCTGATAGGCATCATTGAAGAGGAGCCCACCTGGATCATCATGGAATTGTATCCCTATGGGGAGGTGAGCTGGAGGTGGCAGAAGAGGGACCCTGTGGTGACAACTGGCCACAGCGGGGCGGGGGGAGCATTAGAGCACAGTCCCCTCCTCCCAGCTTCCTGTCTTCTGTATTCAGTTGAAGCAAGCCAAAGGCTCTATTTGTCAAGGAAATTGCTGGAACATTTTGCCAGCTTTGGGTTTGCTTCTCGTCGCCTCCAGGGAAGGGTTGGGGGCTGCCAGCACCCAGCCCCTGTCTCCATGCTGGGACCAACCAGGGGTCTTGATGGCACCTCCCCCTTCCCGCAGCTGGGCCACTACCTAGAGCGGAACAAGAACTCCCTGAAGGTGCTCACCCTTGTGCTATACTCGCTGCAGATATGCAAAGCCATGGCCTACCTGGAGAGCATCAACTGTGTGCACAGGTAGGGTAGAGGGGTGGCCGGCAGCATGGAAGCCGGGCCGTCATCAAGTCCTCAAGGCATCCGGGTAGAAGCAGGGCTTGGGTGTGACAGAGCAGTGTTGGGATCCCAGCATTGGCCGTGCTTGTCCCGGCAACTTGGAGCACTTGAGCAACTTCTCTGACCCTGTGTCCTCATCTGTAAAGTTGCAGGCACTGTATGTACCTCATGGGGTTGTTGGGAGTAACTCTGAAGTCCGAGGCGTCTGTCTAGAGCTCAAGACCTTCCAGTACCTCCCTTGCAAGTGCCAGGAAATTGCCCCCAACTTTGCTCAGAGCTCACTCACCTCCAGCTCACCGGCTTGATGGTGCGTGGCCCAGGAAGAAGGGACTGGGCTGGAGCTGGGCCAGGAAGATCCCAGAGTCCTGGCCTGGACACCACCCTCGTTCCCTGGGCTGCTGAGTCCAAACCTCCCTGTCGCTGTGGAGTTGGCCCCTGCCCTACCTGGTTTTGTGCTCTTTCCTTGCGATGAGAACCTGACCCCCAGGGGAATTAGTGGTTGGCCATTACTTGCCATTGACATTGACTATATGGCCTTGTGTCTGATTCTGTACAAAGCCACATCAGGGGATAAAACCCTGCATTCATTCATTCATCCACCCATTCACTTATTCATTCATCCATCCAACAAATATGGAACACATCTGTGTAAGGCACTGGCCTAGGCTCTGGGACAAAGTTGTGATGAAAACAAGCAAAAATCTTTTTCCTTGTGAAGCTTACCTTCTAGCATGCGCGTCACACTAGAGACATCAGTTGTCAGGACGAAGGTGATGGGATGAGAGATTTGTTTGTTTTGTTTATTCATTTGAAGCTGCCAGGCTTTTAAGTCATCACCTCAACTATAAAAACAAATGCTAGGGAGTGGAGCCTGCCTATGAGAAGCAAGCAGGCAAACTAGTTTGGGGTTGGGAGTGATGGCAAGAACACAGGGTAAACTGAGTCAGCAGAGTGTCTCCTGGGAGGAGTGAGAGCTCAGCCCTGGACTAGCCTACCTGGGCAACACCCTTTTCCACCGGTGACATGCTGGGCAAGTTCCTTCAGCTCCCTGGGCCTGGTCTCCTCCCCTATACCGGGAGGTCTGAGGGTCTCTGTGTTATGACTCAGGGTATGCGAAGCCCTTGTGCGATCCTGGTATCCTCAGTTCCCCATCAGAGTTAGCTGTGCTGCTGCCGCTGCCGCTCCTACTATTCCAAAGGCCTAACCAGTCCTATGCAAATGCAGACGTGAGAGAATAACTGTGTGCAGGGAAGTAGTTGGAGTTTATTCTTGAAGAATCAACAGGTGACAGCCGCCCTGTCAGGGGGGACAGTGTAGGCAACAGCACAGAAGTGGAAGGTAGCAGATCCTAGGGACCTGAGCCAGGCTTCGAGCTGGAGATGTGTGAGAAGGGGTGATGGAGACAGCCCGGCAGCGAGAGGGAAGAAGATGGTCGTGCACCTGCGAGTGTTGGGGTGCAGAGGGGCCAGCTGGGCTCCCACCTGAGCTGTGCTGCAGCAAGACCACTCGGTGGGGGCAGTGACCCGCAGGAGCTGCCCGATTCTGCTCTGGACGTCGAATCCCTGGGCTGCACTGTTTGTTTCTCTGTCCATCTGTCTGTCTGTCTCTCTGAAGTGTCCCTGCCCCCATGGGGGTGGGCAGGGCCTCACCCTGGTCTTGGCACCCTTCTTCCAGGGACATTGCTGTCCGGAACATCCTGGTGGCCTCCCCCGAGTGTGTGAAGCTGGGGGACTTCGGCCTTTCTCGGTACATTGAGGATGAGGACTATTACAAAGGTGAGGGGACTTCCTGGCCTCTGCTGTGGCCTTGGAGGGGTTGCTGAAGCCAAAAATTCCAGAAAAAGGAAATCTACGGTTGGACAGCCCAGGCCAAGGGTCTCCAGAAAGTAGCATGTATTTCTGGATAATTCTGATATTTCTTCCCTAAAAATCAACCTCTTTGCCCACCCAAAGCCTCTGTGACTCGCCTCCCCATCAAATGGATGTCCCCAGAGTCCATTAACTTCCGACGCTTCACTACAGCCAGTGACGTCTGGATGTTTGGTGAGTGCTGATTTGAGAGGTCATGAAAAAGGGTTCAGATTCTCACCTCCAACCAGGCTAATGGGGTGGGTTCGGGGAGCAGGGGTCTGACCCCCACCCCTCATTCCCAGGGTTCTATTTTGCTTTGGCCACTGAGAAGTCTCAGAGATGGGGAGGCCAGCGGGGGTGGGGTAGGGCGTGATCCAGGCTAAGGGCTGAACTGGACTGTGCAGGTTCATCTTCCTGGAAGAGGCTCTTGTGGGATGTGTGTCCCACCTACCAGCCCCAGAAACTAAGATGAAACTCTGTGACTTGTTCTGAGAGAGGTGCAGGGAGGGGAGAGAGCAAAGGCAGGCGCAGACAGACAGCCCCTTCCAGAATACCTCCTGAAGACCATCACTTCGTTCTCCCACAGCCAACCCCGTAGAATATTATCGTTACTCTCATTTTCTAGCTGAAAAAACTGAGGCTCAGATGAGTCAGGAGCCTGCCCGCAGCCACACAGGCACCAAGTGTTGGTGTGAGGCTTCCAACTCCAGCTTTACTAGGGAGTGGCTCCCCTCCCATCTAAGAAGAAGGCACATGTGGTCCCAATGACATGCCATGACTGCCACCTCTCGATCCTGCAGCACCCTGACGGGGTCTAGGGAGCAAGGCCCTGGGTCATTACCTGCAGTTGTAGGTCACTGGTCCCTTGGGTGGGCCACGATGGTGGGCAAGACCCCAGTGTGCTGGATGGAGAGGCAGGACCATAGGAGCTGCTTCTGGCTGAAACTGAGCAGTAATGGCAATGGTGCTGTCCTGGATGGGTTGGCCTGGTGTCCCCCAGACTGGGGCCTGACACTCTCTTCCACCCCAGCCGTGTGCATGTGGGAGATCCTGAGCTTTGGGAAGCAGCCCTTCTTCTGGCTGGAGAACAAGGACGTCATCGGAGTGCTGGAGAAAGGGGACCGGCTGCCCAAGCCCGACCTCTGTCCACCGATCCTTTATACCCTCATGACCCGCTGCTGGGACTACGACCCCAGCGACCGGCCCCGCTTCACCGAGCTGGTGTGCAGCCTCAGGTGAGCATGGAGTGTGGGCCGGGGGCTGGGCCCCCCCACCGACCCCCGGCGGCACCAGGGAGCAAGACCAGCAGCACACAGAGAGGTTTGCACTGCATCTCCCTAAATGAGACGGGCCAGGGTCAAGGACCGGAGGCTGAAGCCAGATTCACTGTCAGATATGAGCCCAGAGATAAGGCACCCCTGGGGAAGCCTGGCTCATCTGGGTGTCTGTCAACACGGAGCACAAAGCCTTGTTCCTAGGATGTGCTCAGAAAATATATTCTAGGTTAGAATCAAAAGCCTGAAGCAGACTCTCGTTGAAGTGCCTGTGCTCTTTATGGTGCTGGGGATGCCACCCGCTTCCTCTCACCTCTCCTCTTGACTTTGATCTTTCCTCCCAGATACAAGGAAGGGAGTAATGTTTGACCTGTTATCAAGAGTGTGACCCAGGGGCCACCTCTCCCTTCTGAATGGGGGATAAGGGACCTGAGGGCCCGTCAGTGCCCAAGAGCCATCATTGCCTAGGGCTGGGGAGGTTGCTGGTGAAGAAGGTCATGTGTTTCAGAGGTTCAGGGTCCTCCAGTTTTCTTGGTGGCCAGCCTGCCATTAGCCCTCCTGTGGGAGATCAGACTTCTTTTGGCTTCCTTTGTGATGGGAGTCAGCCCTTTCTATAAAGGACCAAACAGTAAATATTTAGGGCTTTGCCGTTTATGCAAGTCTCTGCCAAAACTTCTAACTCTCCTAGCTTAGACAGGAGACAAAATAGCCATAGACAATACTTCGATGAATGGGTATAGCTGGGCTCCAGTGAAACGCCATTTATGAACACTGAAATTTGAATTTCACATAATTTTCTTGTGTTGTAAATGTTTTTCTTCTTTTAATTTTTTTAGTCATTAAAACAATGCAAAAAACATTCTTGCTTGGGGGCCATGTAAAAATAGAGGAAAGGCCAGATTTTCCCCGTGGGCTCTTGTTTGCTGAACCCTGCTTTAGGTAGTCTGGAACTTGACTCAAAATATTGTGATTTTAAATACTGTAGTCAACATATTGCCTTGTTTGATTTTAGGACAAGAAAGCACCGCCTGAAAACTGCCTGGTGGGGAGGTACCCCGGGGAATGCCAGCAATGCCCAGGCCAGGGGCACTCAGGGTGACCCGGCATGTTTTACATGGGGCAGGGCCTTCAACATCATCTGCAAAACCTCTGGCTTAAAAGGCCTCCCTGTTCCTGCCTATCCCTTCAGTGAGCCTCCCAGTTAATTCTAGACTCCTCTGTTGGTCCCTCATATAAGAGACTTGAGAAGCCAATGGGCTGCAGGATAAAAGTATTTGAAAGATGGAATCTAGGAGGGTGAAAGCTTGCCGGGGGATGGGGCTGGGAGTCCTCGTTCACTCTGAGGCCTTGAGAGCCACAGGGAGCTATGCAGGCACCTCTCCTGGGCTGAGAGGTGTTCCCCTCAGAAGCACTGGCCAGGCCCCCCCACCACAAGTGCAGGTGGGAGCAGGTTTCCATTTCGATCTGAAAAACCCTGAAAGACTCAGAAGACCCCAGGTTCCTCCCCCCGCCACCACTGACACTTCCTCCTTAGAGTTCAGAAGGGCTTTGGTCAGTGTTTCCTAATTGTTCCGGGCAGGAAAGGACCTTCCAAGGTCAAATTTTGAGTGTCTCTATGTAACAATAGTTATATTTTTTAAATCTTCTGCTGAACAAAATGTAGTAGGCTATATAATGCATTTTTATTATATAGAATAAAATGCATGCACATTTGAAAATATAATACCAAGTACCTCATAGTATCACATATTCAGTAATATATAATACTTGATACCCATATGAATGTGCAGCCTCATAGGCAGTAATAGTTCCAGAGTCCTCTGGCATGTGTGATCCCAGGTTAGGATCACTGGATTGGGTAAGAAAGGTGAGAGGCATGCACAGGGCTAGCCTGTGAACCCACACCCTTGTCAGCACACAGTAGGAATGCATTGGGAGATGTTTCATGAGGTATAGGAGATGTGGATTCTAGGCCAGGGCCATGCAGTTGGCTGGGACTTTGGAAATCTGTATAGAGATTTGGTGCCAATCACAAGCCCAGGAGGGCACAAGGCCTGGGAGTGGGGCTGCAGTCAGGATCCTGCTGTGTTTTTGGGCTTGGACTGGTTCTCCAAGGATAGTTTTCCACCTTGGATTCGTTCCTGTGATCCTCCACCTCAATGTGGCCTCAGGGCCCAAACCCAAGCCTGTCTCAGGGGGCTCTCCCCAGGCCACTCTGCAGGGGGGATGGAGATGGAAATGGGACCTAGCAGCCTTGCCCAGGCCTCTGTGGGCTTCCACACAGTACAGAGAGGAGCCCTAAGTAGCATCTAGCTTTGACCTCGTTTCTCTCCCCATCTGACCTGACTCCCTGCAGTGACATTTATCAGATGGAGAAGGACATGGCAATGGAGCAAGAGAGGAATGCTCGCTACCGAACCCCCAAAATCTTGGAGCCCACAGCCTTCCAGGAACCCCCACCCAAGGTAAGCCAAGCCATGGCTTCATAAGTCCTGTGAGTCAAAGCAGAGCCAGGTCCCTGTCTGATCCATGCCCCTCTTACTGTGCAGGCAGGATGCCCCCTGCAGCCCTCTCTCAGTCCTTCACCCAGAGTCCACCAACACTGTCAGTGTGTTACATCAGTGCCTTGGCAGGTGGACTTTGAGGCAGCAGCCACCCTGTGGGACAGCTGGGTCAAGAATCATCCCTCAAAAGTGTCCCATGAGAGGCTGGGCTTCTCTTCTAGGAGTTTTCTTAGGAACAAATGAGATCCCCATGAGGACACATAAATGGGAGTGTTCTGGATCTTTTAGGTCTAGTACCTGCATCTGTGCCCCACATGGACACCCTGAGCTCAGGAGCCAAGGCCCCATTGCCATTAGGTGGGTGGGTCTGAGAGGCCATGCCTGTCTTAGTCAACTGGAGTTGCTGCAGCAAGAGACCACAGACTGGGTGGCTTAAACAACAGATGTTTATCTCTCACAGTTCTGGAGGCTGGGAAGTCCAAGATGAAGGTACTGGTGTCTGGTGAGGGCTCTCTGTCTGGCTTGCAGACATCCACCTTCTCACTATGTTTTCACCTGGCAGACACAGAATGGTCTTTCTCTTCTTATAAGGGCACTAATCCCATCATAGGATCCATTTTCATAACCTTATCTAACCCTAATTACCTCCCAAAGCCTGCACCTCCTAAATACCATCACATTGGATATTCAGGCTTCAATGTACAAATTGAAAGGGGGGACAAATATTCATTCCATAGCAATGCCTGATTCTATCTAAGGCCTTTTCTCATTTGTCCATCTTGTCTGACATGTCCCACCCTTCCCCTCGGGCCTGGCTCAGTGTTCATCTCCTCCATGCAGCTTCCGTGAGTGCCCAAGCCCCTGGTGAGGTGAGCTGCCACCTCCGCATGCCTGTGGCTCTGCAGCTCTGATTTGCTGGGTGCTCCCATATATAGGGAGGCCACACATACACTGATCATTAACCCTCCAATTAGCCATAGCCCCAGGAGGGTGCAAGGTGGCTTCTTTGTACCTTCCACCACTCAGCAGGTAATTGGTGCTCAATAAATGTATGCAGGCCAGGCGCAGTGGCTCACACCTGTAATCCCAGCACTTTGGGAGGCAGAGGTCGGTGGAACACCTGAGGTCAGGAGATCAAGACCAGCCTGGCCAAGATGGTGAAACCCCATCTCTACTAAAAATACAAAAATTAGCCGGGTGTGGTGGGGGGTGCCTGTAATCCAAGCTACTTGGGAGACTGAGCCAGAGTATTGCTTGAACCTGGGAGGCAGAGGTTGCAATAAGCCAAGATCGCGCTGCTGCACTCCAGCCTGGGAGACAGAGCGAGATTCCGTCTCGAAACAAAAAAAAGTGGATGCAAAATGAGTTTCTTGACAGCTTTGTTCCTCAACTTTCCTTCCTTTGGAATGAGCCTGAGGTGTCTTCAACCTGATCTTCCCCTTGGTGAGTTGTGTTCACTCAAGGAGAGGGACAGAGACTGACCCATCTGTGTTCTCTCTCCAGCCCAGCCGGCCTAAGTACAGACCCCCTCCACAAACCAACCTCCTGGCTCCGAAGCTGCAGTTCCAGGTAAAGATAGAACAAGATGGTGGGAAGTTCGGGTCTACCCCTCATCCAGGTCCTTCCTGAAACTCCATTCCTTTGCCTTAGAGGAACAGCAGTCACCCATCTTGGTGATGGAGATGGCCTAGATTGCCTCCTCTTTGGTACCCAGAACAGAATGTAGACTCAGATCACAAGAACTGAAATGCAGTTCTCCCAGGCTGTGCTCAGCTAAGACCTGCCTTAAGCCCCGTCCCTCTGTCTACAGTGTCTGCTGCTATGTGTGCCTGCCTGCTGCTCTCTTGCCCATCCAAGGCCTCCCTGACCTTCTTCCCAGAAGTAATCCCAGGGAATGTTCCCCAGCAAATGGAGTAACTCCATGGGGCTCCCCAGAGAGGCCCCATCCAGAACGTGGGTGGCCATTGAAGAGACAGCAGGGTTTTACCTGTGCTTTCTGCTGGCTCCATTATCCCCAACCATGACTCTTGCCCAGGCTGTGGGTCGCTGACAGTTCTTGTCTCTTGCCCAGTTCTGTCTCTCTTGCCTCTGGGAGAGAGGGAGTCTAGTCTCCTCCTATGTCTTCTCTTGCATCTCCCAGTTCAGAGTCACTGCCCAAAAATGGAGCCCCTTAGCCACTAGAAATAATGTCCACTTATTTGGTGCCCTTTATAGAAAGGTGGTGCCCCATGGTCCTATATTTGTTCCCAAGGAAATGCCTGAGTACCCAAACAAGACCATCCAAGGACTAATAGATAAATCCTCTCCATGTGAAGAGAAAGCCTGGTTCAGAAGGTGAAAGCATTGTCCTTAAAGAAACAGGCCAGGCGCGGCGGCTCACGCCTATAATCCCGACACCTTGGGAGGCCAAGGTGGGTGGATCATGAGATTAGGAGTTCAAGACTAGCCTGGCCAATATGGTAAAATGCTGTCTCTACTAAAAATACAAAAATTAGTTGGGTGTGGTGGTGCATGCCTATAGTCCCAGTTGCTGGAGAGGCTGCGGCAGGAGAACCGCTTGAACTGGGAGGCAGAGGTTGCAGTGAGCCAAGATCGCGCCACCGCACTCCAGCCTGGGTGACAGAGCAAGTCTCCATCTCAAAAAAAAAAAAAAAAAAAAGGAAAGAAAGAAATATACCCTTATGTGATATTTAAAACAGGGGGTTAGGTATGGTGGCACATACCTGTAGTCCCAGCTACTAAGGAGGGTGAGATGGGAAGACTGATTGAGCTCAGGAATTTGAGACCAGCCTGGGCAATATACTGAGACCCCCATCTGTAAAAACAAAGAGTAATAAAATAAAATTGTGATAACATTATTTTTTAAGAAAAAAATTCAAGGCAGGCATGGTGGCATGCACCTATAGTCCCAGTTACATGAGAGGCTGAGTTAGGAGGATTACTTGAGGCCAAGAGTTTAAGGCTACAGTGAGCTGTGATCATACCACTGCATCCCAGCCTGGGCAACAGAGCAAGAGCCTGTCTGAATTTTTAAAAAGTAATTCATGCATATTTCTTGAAATCTCTGCATTAGCCACATCAGTCAGTTTGTAATGCAACTGAAACATAACTGTTTTCTGAAGAGTCCTGAGGGAGGAGCCCTGGTCTCAGTGGGTCAGTAACCAGCATGGACCCCACTGTGTGCAGAGCAACATGGTGGGGGATGTTGGATGAATGAGAGGCCACTCTGCTCCACCATCTCTCTTGGAACAATGGAAGGCCCACGTCGTGTCCTTTATTAACTCCTGGAGAGCAAGCCCCATCCCCCATGGTGCCCATGCCTGGTTTCTTTGTGCTCATGTTCGTAGCAGCTAATTGTCCACCTTCTTGCTTTGTCCCGTGCCTTGTGCTTCTTTGCTTTTCCTGAATAGGTCCCCGAGGGTCTGTGTGCCAGCTCTCCTACGCTCACCAGCCCCATGGAGTATCCATCTCCCGTTAACTCACTGCACACCCCACCTCTCCACCGGCACAATGTCTTCAAACGCCACAGCATGCGGGTAAGAGGGCTCTGCATGCTGGTCCCTGCCCAGACTGAAGAGGCTGCTGGAGGGAGGTGGCTGGGGACACTGGGAACCCCACACCCTCAGCTCAAGAGGGCCCTCGGTGCTCCCATGCACCAGTCAGGCCACCAAGGGGGGACTCTGTGACTTCCTCCCCTTTGCAAACGCAACAGAGGCTAGGGACCAAGCCAGGCCCTGCTCTGGAGGACACTAGCTGGACCTAACCTGCCCTTGACCATGCTGGTGCTATAGCTAGAGAGGTACAAATCTCTCCCTCTCCTGAGCCCCAGGGGTACGGGGATCTGTGGCAGCATGAAGGCTCCTAGGCAGAGTGCGGCACATCTTAGTGGTGCTGGAGTGTAAAGGATCCTTCCTACCTGACGGCTTTTGGTGCGAAATCTCTAAGGAAAGACTTCCTCACGGCTGCTTCCCCTTCGCCTTTTGTTCAGGCTGCTGCTGGGTGAGGAGTTCAGGGCTAGTGGGAATACAGGCTCATTCACCGGCTAGAGCGGGAGCCTGAGCCACCTCCCTCATCAGCTGTTTGTCACTGGGTATTGTTAACTGTGGGTGAAGCCCCGAGTGCTTCATGGCTGGCTTCTGATTGTCAGCTCTTATGTGAAAAAGACACTTTTGCTTATAACCAGATGCCCACTGGTCATCAATCACCTTCTTCCATGCATATGGTCCCTAGTGGTCAGTTGCCATGAACTTGATCTATTTTATTAAGCCAACTAAAACCCTTATTTTAGCTCTTAACTCTGCATACATGCATAGTATTTCAGGCTCACTAAACGTAACAAGATTTTTTTTGAAAAGAATTAGATGTTTATCATAATATATTTGGAAGATGTAGGCAAGTAGGTTAATATTACTTTGATGCCATTATTCTTAAGTTAGTGGAATTTTGAAATGAGCATGATAACTTAGAATTCCAGGCACTAAGATTAAGATTTATTGTGAAATAAGATTTCCTCTGACCTACCTCATTTTTCTCTTTTATATTAATTTAGCCAATTTCTGTCTTTGCATGGGCTTAACAATAAGAAAACTACATTTTTAAGCATGTGCCATAATTTAGGCTGTGTTCGGTTCCCCACCCTCCTGCCTTTGACTCTCTATTCATGATTGATTGTTTTAGTGAGTTTTGCTTTAAATTGTGTTATTCTAGAAAGATGCCATTTTGCACATTTGAGGGGTAGCTTGCCTTTGTCCAATTCCTGCTTCTCCACAAGGACCTTGTTCAGTTCCATAAAGAGATTGTACATTAGGAAAAAAGACCTTTTGTGTCAGGGCTTTAGAAGTAATTGCCATAAGGAAAATCTGCCTAAAAGAACATAATGAGCATGTCTTTAAATAAACAAACCCCAAAAGGTTAAAAATATAAGCTCCATTTTATGACACAGATCAGAAACACTGAGAAAGTCTTTTTCAGGTAGAATGCTGAGAAGGTATAATAGGCTCTTCACAAAGCATTTGGAAGCATTTAACAGAAATTCAGAGGTGGTTCTCCCAGAAAAACAGTTTTTCTACTGCGTGGCTCTATAGCCTGACTCATCAGGGAGTCTGTGGGATGCCATACGAGCATTGGGATGGCAGCAGTTTCTCTCTCGAAGACCTCACAATTGAGCTTTAAAAATAATATAATTCAAGGCTTGACGTGTAGCTCGCACCTGTATTCCCAGCATTTTGGGATACCGAGGCAGGTGTATCACTTGATGTCAGGAGTTTGAGACCACCCTGGCCATCATGGTGAAACCCAGTCTCTACTAAAAATACAAAAAATAGCCAGGCATGGCGGCATGCACCTGTAATCCCAGCTACTCAAGAGGCTAAGGCAGGAGAACACTTGAACCTGGGAGGCAGAGGTTGTAGTGAGCCACGATCGCACCACTGTACTCCGGCCTGAGCAACAGAGCAAAACTCTGTCTCAAAAAATAAAATAAAAATAATACGATTCAGTAAACACTGCGAGTTGCTCTGATCACTGGCACTGTCCTCGGTGCTGAAGTGGGGAGGCTCTGCCTTCAGAGAGCTTGCAGTTGACCAGAAGGAGCAGACCGGGTACACACTTACCTGTAATGCAAGCCAGAAGGTCGTGGGTACAACAGAGTGGGAGTCCAGAGAGGGGGATAACCCCTTCCAGCTTCTATTTAAAAGCTGGCCTTGAAAAATGGGAAAGGTGTGGACAGGAGGAAACTGAGATTCAGGGCATGGAAGAGGCAGAGGCTTCAGTAGAAGCCAAGACTGAGTGTTGGGAAACCACAGGACAAGTGTAAGAACTGTTAGGCTAGAACAGGAAGGGAACTTGTGGAGGTGGAAATAAGGCCAACAGCTGGGTCATAGCCAAATTCTGGAAGGTGCTACAACTTATGAGAGTTATTTTAAAACACCACGAGTACCCGATTCCTTTTAAGCATAGAATATAATTAGCAATGTAAGTGTCCATTACCTAGTAATATTGGAGGTGAATTTCAGCAAAACCAACCCCAAATAGATACCATTTTTTAAATGTTCATTTTCTCCTTAAGTTTTATTATAAAATTGGAAGGCATCAGAATAAGCCTCCTAATCTGAGTTTGTTAAGATATGTGGTAAGATCAGGCCTGGGGCATGCTAGCTATTTTGGTGATGGGATCTTCTCTCAACACTTACAAACTTACAAATACTTATAAATACTTGTAGAATTTTCTTGACTTATCCCAGTGGTACTTACCATACTCTTCTTCAACCCAAACATTTTTCTCACATCCAGAAATCCCTGACTCTATATTTAGAACTTTTGGCACTTAGTTCTTGTTTGTTACTATTTGTCGACAGCTTGGGGCAACCATGTCATTTTGTCTTCAGGTGTTGACATTTAACTGGGGATTTTCATCCCCTTAAAATGTCCTAATTTTGAAGTATCAGCCTCTGATCAATAAAACCGATTTTATTTTTATCAATCCCATGACTATAAAATACTCTTAGATGCTGGACTTTGTTTTCCTAAAATAAGGTCTAGCTCAGTGGTTCTCAGCTAAGGTATTTTTCCTCTGAGAGCACATTTGACCATGTCTGGAGGCATTTTCGTCACCACTGGGAATGTACTATAGGCATGTATTGCGGGGAAGCATATTGCAATGTATGGTAAATCACCCTGGAAATAAAGACTTACCTGGCTCCAAATGTCAATAGTCCTGAGGTTGAGGAGCCCTGGTCTAACTAGTATCTATTTAACCCCATGAGAATAAGGGCATCATATATTTTAATAGCACTGTCCTCCCAGCACCCAGCCCTGCCACATAGTAGTGCTTTTAATAAACAATTGTTGAACAGATTCATGAATAAAGACTATTTCAGCAAGAAACCTAATTTGTGGGGAAATGTGACTGGAAATTAAGGTCAGTAATTGAAGCTCAATGTGCACTAAGAAAAACATCCCAATATAACCATTTTTAAACCATATTGTAATATTCAAGTGTGTTTTGTAGGGCTTAGTGAGGAAACTCTTTTAAGAGGCTTGGTAGGGATTACCAATTGCTAAAAGTAGAAAGAGATCATTGTTAGCATCTTCTGCAAGTGACTTGTATGCAAATGGCCCCTTCAAAGGCAAGGAACTGAGGGACCTGCTCATTTAGATGTCACAGAGGATCCTGCCCCAGCAAAGGCAAATCCTGGGCTTTGTGCAATCAAGAGGATGCCAATAATATTCCTCCTCCCTCTGTCCAGGAGGCCAGGGTTATCATGTGCCGAACAAGAGCAAAATAGTTCAGAGGCACTGAGCAGATGATTATACAAATGAACCGTGGGGGAAGATTGAAGGAAAATAGGAGGACATGCAATACTTTCTGTTTAGAAACTAGCAGCTAAAACTATGAATGGGTCCAAAGCCCTAGAGGTAAGTTACAGCAACAGCTGGGCTACTACATCTAGGGAGAGGAAGCATTTATCTTACCTCTGTAGAGCTATATTTCTTTGAATTTTGTTCTTCTTTTTATCTGTTCATGCATTTCTTCTAATCGTTGCTTAAATAACCAAGCTATGATTGCATTTATCTTATCTCTACAGAGCTGTATTTCATGAAATTTTGTTCTTTATCTCTTAGCTCATGTATTCCTCCTAACATTTTGTTAAATAACCCAAGCTCTTATCTTAATAAGAGGATGTCTTAGTACAAAGGCATGGTTGGTGCATGCATGCTGCTGCTCCTTCTCTCAGGCTCTGCTCATGCATGGACACAGGTGGGACTGCACACCGTGAGACTAGAGGTAGCACCACTGTCTCTTGAAGCTTCCAGACCTGCTGCCTTGGTGCTTAGGTGGAGACAGATGGAAAGGGCATGATGCTATCCAATGAAGCAAAGCAATCCCCTTGGAAGCCTTCTTGATGCTTTTAGTAGATTTTAAAATAGATTTTAATTGACTTTCATAGGTTTTCTTTTTTAAATCTGTTAAATGACAACGACTGTCACAAACACCGAGACAATGACAGCAGGGCAGTCACGTGATAAAATATCGTGAGCGGATGGTGTGATCATTTGAATACAGTGCATGTTCAGCAATGGGTTCCCGGGTTTGGTATCACATTGCAGCAAAGGCACATGCTCGGGCTGATACCCAGTAACTGTCTGCACATATGGCTGGGGGTTTAAGAACAAACTTAGGAGAAAAACACAGCTGCTCGGGGGCAAGTCTCGTGGCTGCCATGAGGTTCTTCAAAGGACTGTCCCTCCCCGAGTCTGAGAGCAACGCTCATTGCATCCTCTCCCTTCTCTCTGCCATCCTCCCAGGAGGAGGACTTCATCCGACCCAGCAGCCGAGAAGAGGCCCAGCAGCTGTGGGAAGCTGAGAAGATCAAGATGCGGCAAATCCTGGACAAGCAGCAGAAGCAGATGGTGGAGGACTACCAGTGGCTCAGGCAGGAGGAGAAGTCCCTGGTGAGCATCTGGGATGTCCATGCCCGGCGCCCATCTGTGTCCTCTTCCACCTCCCCGGGTGGCTGGGGCAAGGCTCCCCTGCATTCTTGGTGCTTTCAGCTCCAGAATTCTAAGTCCTTCGCTCTCGTTTCTTTCTCTGCAGGACCCCATGGTTTATATGAATGATAAGTCTCCATTGGTGAGTTGCCAGGAGAGGCCTCTTCCTTCGTGCCAAGGCCTGGGAAGGCCCCATCCACCATAGGACCGCTGCTTGCTCCCACACCCGTGCCAAGGCCTGGGAAGGCCTCATCCACCATAGGACCGCTGCTTGCTCCCACCCCCAGGCCTGCCCAGCTCCTCTTTGGCAGCTTTCCGTGTTGGGCGGGTGTCTTTTCCTTTTCTGCCAAACTCTACATGGCCCTTTTCCTCAACTCTGCCTTTATGGAGCCCTTACCACTGGCTGGCGCCCTCCACAGCGCCCCTCAGCTTCCCAGAAAGGTCTCTTTGGGTTAGGAACTGCTCCTAGAAGCACCCCTGACCCCATGGCTGTAATAATCTCTAAACACACAGTGAAGGGCTGAGGAGTGGGTAACAGGGGAGGGGGTTGTCTCCAGAGCCGCACGAGTGACATCGATGTTCTCTTTTCTCCTTCCTCCAGACTCCAGAGAAGGAGGTCGGCTACAGTGAGTGTTCCTGCCCTTCTTCGGGGGGTTTCCGCTTGGCACCTTGTGCAGAGCCACCATTCTTGCCCACCACCCAGGGCAGGGAACAGCAGAGTCTGTCTGCGTTCCCTGCCTCATCAGCCGTGATTTAATTCAGAGGCTGTGGGGTGGGCCAGCTGCCCCTCTGCCCCCTCCACCCCATCCCTCTCCCTGCCTGGTGCCCTGCCTCCTTTCTCTCAGCAGCCACATCCTCAGGCCCCTCCTCAGGTCTTCCCCCTCCTGCATTTGTTTAGAGGAGTTGGAAATTCTCTCTTCCTTTTGATTTCCTGCTCTGTCGGAGGCTCCTGTGGGGAAGTTAAGCAGTGCTACCTGCCTCTCAGCTGAGACTCATCTTCTGTAGGCCTGAGGACAGAGAAGAGAAAGTGGGAGGGGCAGCTGAGCCCACAGGCTCTCTCTGGAAGCCCATGTTGAAGGCAGGGAGGGAACAGCCAGCAGTGAGCCTGGGGCCTGGAGGGGCAGTGCTGAGTAGGAGGAGGAGGACAGCAGTCACAGAGAACTGGACACAGGTCAGACCTGGCCTGGGACCATTTATTATCCTCTGAGGCACAGGGAGGATACGTAACTTATCCAAAATCACACAGCTAATAATTAGCAATGCTCACATTTGAACCCAAGCCTTCTGACTTGAGGATCTCTTCTGAGCCTACCCTGTTATCTTACAAATGAAAATTCAGGCCCTAGGAGGGTGAGCTGCCCGGGGTGGTGACAGAGCTCTCTGGTAGCAGAGGTGAGAATAGAAGGCCAGGTTTGATGGCTCACACCTGTAATCCCAGCACTTTGGAAGGTCAGGAGTTCAAGACCAGCCTGGCCAACATGGTAAAACCCCATGTCTACTAAAAAAAAAAAAAAAAAAAAAAAAAAAAAGAAAAAAATGAAAAAACCCAGAATAAAAAAAAAAAAAAAAAGAAAAAAAAAAAATTAGCTGGATGTAGTGGCAGGCACCTATAATCCCAGCAACTCAGGAGGCTGTGGCAGGAGAATCGCTTGAACCTGGGAGGCGGAGGTTGCACTGAGCTGAGATCGCACCACTGCACTCCAGCCCAGAGTGAGACTCTGTCTCAAAAAAAAAAAAGAGACAACAGTGCTGTCCTTGACGATTGCAAAATCAGGGAGACTGCCAACTTCCTGGAGTTAGGGTTAATTTCCCTGAAGTCTCCTGGTGGTAAAGGGGAGGGGGCCCATTTGATGTCAGCAGGTACAAAGGGAAGGGTTGGAGCGCTGAGAACTGCCCCCCACTTGCTGTTCTTTTTATTGCAGTGGAGTTCACGGGGCCCCCACAGAAGCCCCCAAGGCTGGGCGCACAGGTATGTGTTGGCTCTGCTGAAACTGATGACAACTGAGAGAGAGTTGAACAATGCTGAAGGGCACGGAATATGAAAGCTTCAGTCTCAGACAGAATCCAGTTCAGAGTCCTTATTATACAGATGAGCCCCAGAGATGGGGGTCCCTTGCCTAAGACCACACAGCTAATTCATGAAAAAGCAAGAGGAAGGACCAATCTCCCACCCTCCATACCCCTCCCAGAGCTCCCTGGCCCAGCCCCAGGGAAAGGGGTGTAGGCTCCCTCCCTCTTCTGAGCCTCCCCCTTGGTTTCCAGCACCCATTGTCTTTACAGCTGTCTGGGGTGGTGCTGGCTTGCTTTCCTCTGGAATAGTGATTCTCAACCTTGGCTGTCCATTAAAACCACCCGAGGAGCTTTGAAACTCTCTTCACAGGCCAGATGCGGTGGCTCACACCTGTAATCCCAGCACTCTGGGAGGCCATGGCAGGAGGATCGCTTGAGCCCAGGAATTCAAGATCAGCCTGGGCAATATCGCAAGAACCTGTCTTTATTCGAAATTAAAAATAAAATAGCTGGACTTGACGGCATGCCTGATACTCAGGAAACTGAGACAGGAGGATTGCTTGGCCCAGGAGGTCAAGGCAGCGTGAGCCATGACCGTGCCATTGCACTTCAGCCTGGGCAACAGAGTGAGACCCTGTCTCTTGAAAAAGCCTGCCTCACCCCATGTCCCGGTGGTGGTTCTATTGGTCTGCTGAGAGACAACCACTAGTATTTTGTTAAGGCTCCCTGGCTGGAAACTGCCCCCAACGTGGACAGGGTCGAACAGCCCAGGTCAGGACACTATGATTCTAGAGAAGAGTCCTTTCAAATCGAGCTGGTGGTGGAGTTAGCCCCAGTAGTGCCTCCCCAGGAGAGAATCATGCTATGCCCTGGCCCTCCCTACTCACCAGCCACCTGCTTCTCCTCAGTCCATCCAGCCCACAGCTAACCTGGACCGGACCGACGACCTGGTGTACCTCAATGTCATGGCGCTGGTGCGGGCCGTGCTGGACCTCAAGAATGAGCTCTGTCAGCTGCCCCCCGAGGGCTATGTGGTGGTGGTGAAGGTGAGAGCAGGGCCAGGCTGGGGAGGTGGAGGCAGCTCAACTCCACCCTGGAAGGAAGGAGGACTGTGCTTCCTTTTGGCTGTCCGGGAAGATCCTCCTAGAGCAAGCTGGGCTGGGGAATTGAGTCCCAGGCCACTTGCGGGGGCAAGCACCACCTCAGGAGAGCTCTCTCCAGTAGCCAGGAGTGGTGGCCATCCTGCCCCTTTCTCTCCCCAGAACGTGGGGCTGACCCTGCGGAAGCTCATCGGGAGCGTGGACGATCTCCTGCCCTCCTTGCCGTCATCTTCACGGACAGAGGTGAGTGTCCTATCCCAGACGGTGCCATAGGCTGTTACTTTGCTCCTGCACCCCCACCTGTCCCTACTTACAGTTCCGTCAGAGGCTCATGATGGCTGCCTGGACAACTTCATGTCTGTCCACTGAGTCCCCAGCCAGTGGGTTCTATGTAGCTCATCCCATCAGCTACCACCAGAGGGCTCAGAGGGCACCCAGGAACCGGCCAGGTGCTAGGGAGGATGTCCTAATTCAGGCCTTAGATGATGGCAGTGGATTCTTACTGGGGTATGCTAAAAGGGACACACCTTCTTTTCCCCCCTCCTATTACTTTTATTCTGGTCACTGTCTGTATGAAGATTAATGGGGATGTGTCATAGAAATAATACTTAAGGTTTCTTTAATTATTTAATCTGATTAATGAAAAATGTTCACTGAAAATCAAAACAAGAGTCTTGGTGCTCCACTTTGAGATGGTGGCTGCAGTGGGGAGAGTCAGGGTCCCCAGACATGTCCACATCCTAAACCCTGGCACTGGGAAACATGTCACCTTCCATGGCAAAAGAAACTTTGCATATGTGATCAAGTTAAGGACCTTGAGATGGGGAGATGGTGCTCCATTATTGGAGTGGGTCCAGTGTTGTCATGGGGATCCCAGGATCAGGTGTTCTGGTCTTACAGGGATCTCTGTGACAACACTGGCAGGTGTGGCGGCTCACGTCTATCATGCCAACACTTTGGGAGGCCAAGGTAGGTGAATTGCTTGAGCTCAGGAGTTTGAGACCAGCCTGGTCAACATGGCAAAACCATACAAAAATTAGCTGGGCATGGTGGCCTGTGCCTGTAGTCCTAGCTGCTCAGGAGGCTGAGGTGGGAGGATTGACTGAGCCTGGGAGGTAAAGCTGTGGTGAGCTGTGAGCCACTGCACTCCAGCCTGCGCAACAGAGTGAGACCCTATCTCAAAATAAATCAATCAATAAATAAGAGGGAGGTAGTGTGTGACCAGAGACACAAGGTCAGAGTGACAGATATGACGGCTGGAAGGAGGCCTCAGGCCAAGGAAGGCAGCAGCCTCTCAGAGCTGGAGAAGACAAAGAACAGGTTCTCCCCTGGAGCCTCCAGAGAGAAACCAGCCCGTGGCCACCTTGACTTCAGCCCAGTGGGGACCATTTGAGACTTCTGCCCTTCAGAAGTTTAAGACAATAAATCTGTGTTGTTTTACACCACTACATTTCTGGTAATTTGTTACCGAAGCCATAGGCACATGATTCAGTGCCATAGACATTTGTTGGTTGTCCATGTGGAGCCCTTTGGTCCCCTGCCTCCCAGTGGCCAGCCCTGCGGCACAGATGACTACCACATCCCGCCACTGTCCCCACTGTCGGTGGCTGCCCAAGGTGGGAGAAGGGAGGAGAGTTTGAGCCATTTCCTGGCCTCTCTCTGGGGGACAGTGACAACCCATACAGGAGCCCTAGGCAGGGCTGCCTTGTTTCATGTGAGAGCTCTTTACCCTTGGGATGCCAATTCATTCATTGATTCATCCATCCACTTTATTTGTAAATACCCTTGAGTACCAGCTATGAACAGGCACACCTCACCTTATTGCATTTTGCTTTAATTACACTTCCCAGATACTTCATTTGTTACAAATTGAACATTTGTGGTAACCCTGCATTGAGAAAGCCTATTTGTGCCATTTTTCCAATAGCACCTGCTCACTTTGTGTCTGTGTCACATTTTGGTAATTCTCACAATATTTCAGACGTTTTCATTATGATATCCGTAATGGTGATTGGTGATCAATGATGGGCAGTGTTGGCATTGTAATCCTTTTGAGGGGCCATAAACTGTGCCCACGTAAGACTTAGCATCGAATGTTGTGTGCGTTCTGACTGCCCCTCCAACCAGCCATTCCCCCATCCTCTCTTTGGGCCTCCCTTTTCCCTGGCCCACAACAATATTTAAATTAGGCCAATTAATAACCCTACAGTGGTCTCTGAGTGTTTAAGTAAAAGGAAGAGTTGCCCACCTCTCACTTTAAATCAAAAGCTAGAAATAATTAAGTTGAGTGAGGAAGGCATGTTGAAAACCAAAATAGGCCAAAAGTCAGCCTCTTCTACCAGTTAGCCACATTGTGAATGCAAAGAAAAAGTTCTTGAAGGAAATTAAGAGTTACTGCAGTGAACACATGAATGATAAGAATGTGAAGCAGCCTTACTGCTGATACGGAGAAAGTTTGAGTGCCCTGGATAGAAGATCAAGCCAGCCACAATATTCCTTTATGCCAAAGCCTAATCCAGATCAAGGCCTGCAATTCTATGAAGGCTGAGAGGTTCTGGAAGTTGCAGAAGAAAAGCTGGAAGCTAGCAGAGGCTGGCTCATGGGGTTTAAGGAGGGAAGCCACCTCTGTAACATGAAAGGGCAATGTGAGACAGCACATGCTGATGGAGAAGCTGCAGCAGGTTCTCCAGAAGACCTGGCTCAGATCACCAGTGAAGGTGGCTCTGCTAAACCACGGATTTTTCAATGTAGATGAACGGCTTTCTGTTGGAAGCAGATGCCATCTAGGACTTTCATAGCTGGAGGAGATGTTCATGCCTGGCTTCAAAACTTCAAACGACAGACTGACTCTTGCTAGGGGCTAAAGTGACTGGTTGAAGCCGTGCTTATTGGGCATTCTGACAATCTTAGGGCCCTTAGGAATTAAGCTAAATCTGCCAGGCACGGTGGCTGACGCCTGTAATCCCAGCACTTTGGGAGCCGAGGTGGGTGGATCGCCTGAGGTCAGGAGTTCAAGAGCAACCTGACCAACAGGGAGAAACCCCATCTCTACTAAAAATACAAAATTAGCTGGACGTAGCGGGGCATGCCTGTAATCCCAGCTATTAGGGAGGCTGAAGCATGAGAATCGCTTTAATTTGGGAGGCGGAGGTTGTGGTGAGTCAAGATCACTCCATTGCCCTCCAGCCTGGACAGCAAGAGCAAAACTCCTCCAAAAAAGGTAAAATCTACTCTGCCTGTGCTCTGTAAATGTAACAACGAAGTTTGGATGACTGCACAACTGTTTACGGCATGTTTTGCTGATTATCATAAGCCCACTGTTGAGGTCTACTACTTAGAAAAAGATGTTCAAAATCTTACTAATTGACAATGTGTCTACTCACTCAGGATATCGGACGGAGATATAGAAGATTAATGTTTTCACTGCATCTCTTTTGCAGCCCATGAATCAAGGAGTAATTTCTACTTTCAATTTCTGTTATTTAAGAAATACATTTCTAGGCTATAGCTGCCATATGTAGTGATTTCTCTTATGGATCTGAGCAAAGTCCATTGAAAACATTTTGGAAAGGATTTACCATTTTAGGTAATATTAGGAACATTTGTGATTCATGGGAAGAGGTCAGAATATCATTAACCATTTGGAAGAAGTTGATTCTAATCCTCGTGGTTGATTTTGAGGGGTTCAAGACTTCAGTGGATGACCAGGCATGGTGGCTCACACCTATAATCTCAGCACTTTGGGAGGCCCAGGCAGGAGAATCATCTGAGGTTAGGAGTTTGAGACCAGCCTGGCCAACATGGTGAAACCCCATCTCTACTAAAAATACAAAACTTAGCCAGGCGTAGTATTGGGTGCCTGTAATCCCAGCTGCTCAGGAGGCTGAGGCAGGAGAATTGTTTGAACCCGGGAGGTGGAGATTGCAGTGAGCTGAGATCATGCTACTGTACTCCAACCTGGGTGACAAGAGCAAAACTGTCTCTAAAAACAAAAAACAGTGGTATGATCAGATTCACATTTTAGAAAGCGTGAGGGGCTGTTGTCATGAAGGGAAAGTCAGACTGGCCTTCTCCAGGCTGGGCCGGGGGTGGGACGGCTGTGGTGTCAGTCCTTGTAGACTTGGCTCCACCTGCATGGGCATTGCACTCGGCCTGCTCCATTCGCTTCCAGGGGACTTCTGACTGCCTTGGCCAGCACGCAGGCAGATACCTCTGTGGCTTCCCCATCCTCCAGGCATGGACTTTGTGGCCCCCTCAGCCTCTTCTGTGTGATCTTTTACAGATCGAGGGCACCCAGAAACTGCTCAACAAAGACCTGGCGGAGCTCATTAACAAGATGCGGCTGGCACAGCAGAACGCCGTGACCTCCTTGAGTGAGGAGTGCAAGAGGCAGATGCTGACAGCCTCACACACCCTGGCCGTGGACGCCAAGAACCTGCTCGATGCCGTCGACCAGGCCAAGGTTCTGGCCAATCTGGCCCACCCGCCTGCAGAGTGACGGAGGGTGGGAGCCACCTGCCTGCGTCTTCCGCCCCTGCCTGCCATGTACCTCCCCTGCCTTGCTGTTGGTCATGTGGGTCTTCCAGGGGGAAGGCCAAGGGAGTCACTTTCCCTTACCAGTTTGCACGACCCCCTCTCCCTACCCCTATCCCAGGCTGTACTGCTCAGGCAGCAGCTGGACAGCGGGGACTCTGGGCTATGGACACAGGGTGAGGGTGACACAGATGGCTTGGAGGGGGCACTGCTGCTGCCTGGCCACTCCTTCCTACCCCACCCAGTCCATGCAGGCGGGTCATGGGGGCGGGAGGGTCACGTGGTGCCCCTAGCTTTATATATGGACATGGCAGGTCAATTTGGGAACCAAGCTATTCCTTTCCCTTCCTCTTCGGCCCTCAGATGTCCCCTGATGCACAGAGAAGCTGGGGAGGAGCTTTGTTTTGGGGGTCAGGCAGCCAGTGAGATGAGGGATGGGCCTGCGGTTCTTGTACAGTGTATATTGGAATTTATTTAATGTGAGTTTGGTCTGGACTGACAGCATGTGCCCTCCTGAGAGAGGACCTGGGACATAGACCAGGAACAAGTAATTGGGAGTCTGGGCATGGGACGCTGTGTTGTCAAACCAAGCATCAGGGGGAAGGAGCAGAGAGATGGGCCAGGACAGGACCTTGGACCAAATCCACTCTCTTCCTGTCCCTTTCTCTTTGTCCCTTTACTCTCCCTTTCTTTCCCTTTTCCCTCTTTTCTTACTCCTCCTCTTTTTTCTCCCTCCCGCCCCTAATCTCATCTGCACCCTTCTTTTCTCGCGTGTTTGCATAAACATTCTTTTAACTTCTTTCTATTTGACTTGTGGTTGAATTAAAATTGTCCCATTTGCTTTGCGGTTGGTTTTGTTTGTTTGACCTTCCCATTGGGGGAGAATGGGGACTGTGAGCCAAGCTCTGGAAGAAACTGATGATGTTCGTGCTGGTTGGAGATCAAAGCTGTCCAGCGCTGGGCATCGGCCGAGGAGGGGCGAGCAGTGATACCCAGCATTGGGTCAGGGGTGTGCTCTGGCCCCTTTGCCCTTGCAGGGGTACTGGGGGCGACTTTCCAGGGACCCAGGACAGTACCCTCTATGGCCACATGAGGAATGCCATGTCATTTCTCCCCCAGTGAGGCCCCCAAACCACCTGGGCTCTGGAGGGGCTTGGGTGACAGTGGCAATATTGAGGTGTGGCTGGCAAGGAGGGTGCCGCACAGTTGAGTGAGCAGTAGATGCAGCTTTATTTACTCTCTTTATCACATGCAAGGTGGACGGGAGATGTGGATAACAGGAGCGAACATCACTGTCCCAGGACAGCGGGTCTGGAAGGCTGGACCTGAGAGCTCTGAGGCCTCCGAAGAACAGGTGGGAGGAGAGGGGAGGCCGGGGCTGCGTGCACAGAAGTAGACAGGAGCCAGAGATCAGATGAGCCATGAGTGGGGGGTTGTGGGAGAGAAGCGAGGTGTGGTGGGGCCTGGGCCAGGGTGTCAAAGGTAGGCAGGTGTCCCCTGGGAGTGTCAGGGAGAGAGACTTCGGGGTTTGGAAGGAGGAGACCCCCTAGGACCAGAACAACTGGAGGCTCCCCCTGCTCGGCTTCCTACCTGGAGCCTCCACGCCGTTTCGAGAACCCAGTGGCCATATCTGTTAGCTGCCAAGGGCCCACTCTCGGGCCTGGACAGAGCTGGGGAGAAGTCTGCTGCCCGATCCCAGGAGCAGCCGTTCGGCCTGGGCTCCTGGGTGCAGACTCGGGCTTCGGGGTGGTGCTTTCCAAGGTGCACACACAGGCTGCTCTGAAGGGTTCAGGGCAGGTCAACACACCTTGGGGCTCTGGGGGAGATGGGGCAGGCTGGGAAGGGACGGGACCACAGCTTTTGTCATCTGCACAGCAGTCTTGGGGCCCAAACAAGCCAGCTTGCTCTCCTCAACCACTCAGAGCAAATGCCTTGAGCACAGTACTCACCCTGCGCCGTGCTAGGTGCTGGGGGTGGGAAAAGTAACAGGCAGAGGCCCTGCCCTTGAGAAGTTTAGAATCAAAGGAGCTGAAGGCAAAGATCTTCAGCTCCCAAGTAAGGCCTCCTTCCGATGGAGCCAGGCATAGGGAACAGGGTGCCTGGGGGGGGGGGGGGGGGGGGGGGGGGGGGGGGGGGGGGGGGGGGGGGGAAAAAGGGGGGGGGGGGGGGGGGGGGGGGGGGGGGGGGGGGGGGGGAGGGAGGATAGGGCAAACGAGATGAGTCTGAGTTGGGTCAGAGCAGCTCAGGATGGTCTTTCTTGTTTGGCTGCTGCATGTGTAGGGACATATGGAGCCCCCGCAGGCCGTGGCTCTCAGCTGTGCCAGACCTCCTGGGGGCTGCTGGTGCAGAGCCACTTTGCAACAAGGAAGGGAGGGGAGTGACGTCAAGGAGAAGCCTGAGGGCTCCAAGGTGCTTCCAGGTGGATGGAATAGCCCAGTCACCTGTATCCAACCATCCGTCCCTCCCCTGTAGGGAAGATCCACCCCACACGCAGGCCCTGCCTCCCGCCTCCTCCCCTTCCGGAAGAGCCTGTATCACTCCCCTGCTGGACTGTCCAGCTCAGAACCCTGCAGGCTTGGCCAGACTCCGAACTTCATCCCCAGCCTGGCTGAGAGAGATCCCACCTGGCTCTCCAAGCTCCCACCTCGCCCGGCTGTTCTGGCACTTTGGGCTCATTCCCAAATCCAAACATCGTTCAGAGCCCTTCCACCCCAAGGAACCCTCCCCTTTGCCCCACGACCCCTCCTTTGAGGTCTGCCTTCCCTTCCTCATCACCCTGGCCCCAGCATCCCCCGGGTTGACTCTTCTGTCACTTGGGGTCTGCACCGCTCCTCCAGGAGAATCCGACTCTGCTCCACTTGGTCACCACCATCTTGTGACCTTCCGCAGAACTTCCCTAGCTCCTCAGCATCCAAAACAGGGCTTTTTGTCCAGTAGGCTCTCAGCCCTGATACAATCCTGTTAAGCTGGATGGAAGCCTGCGATACCGGGGCCAGGGTCAGGACTCCACAGAGAGGCACCTGCTGACCGCAAAGGGGACACTAGAGGCAGCTGCAGCAGAGATGGTCAAAAGATGGTCAGCAGTGGTGCCCTGGCAGCCAACTCGAGGGAGGTGCGGTCAGATCATTCCAGCTAGGAACGGAGGCAGGAAGAGGCCAATGGTCCCCAGGAAACAGACGATGATAAACAGCCAGAGGAAGATCCTGTCGATGACCATGGCGACGTACTTCCAGTCCTCCTTTACCTGTGAGGAAGACAGCGCACAGTGACAGGGACCAGGCCTGGGAAGCAGACGCAGCCCCCCATGCACAGCCCCTGCACGGATGGCCAATGGGGACAGCAGCAACTGCCCCACAGAGACCCAGGGGAGCAAAGGTCAGTGCAGGGAGCTGGGTGACTGGAGGGGAGGGGACAATGAGCGGTTTCAAGGCTCCAGCAAGCTCCCCTGGTGATTCCCCTCGAATCAAAGCCCCTCCACATGCCCAAACCTGTCCATAGTATGCTCCCCGGCTATAGGTAAAGGAGGCTAGAGGGACGCAAAGGGCAGCAGGACCACCCCAGGGCACTAGTCCTCCTAGGGGCCTGCAGTGACATCAGTGCAACACCAGACTTAGCTACCCACAGGTTGCCACCTCACCCACCTGCTGGAGCTGGGGAGAGGGAAACAGTGAAGGTGGCTGGGACCCCGGGCAGGCTGGGGGTAGGGCGGGGGCTTTGCGAAATTTGGGCTCACAGCCTAGGCAAGGAAGCCTGGATTCCCCACTGCTCCTGGATTACATCATGATTAATTTTCTGATCTAGTCATCAAAGCCACCCAGTAATAACCTCCCTGCCTCTCATCCTTCCCGAGGCTGATAAGAATTTTGTGCTGGAGCAGGGGCCTGCTCACATAGCAATGGCAGATGAGGGCTGGGGCAGGGGACAGGGAGGGGCCACTGCCATGGCAGGGGCCAGGGGGCGGAGTCCACCTGGTACAACCAAGAATCTGCAGGATTTGTGGCTGAAGACTGAAGTCTGCAAAATGGCCAGAGCCCAGGAACAAGGAGGCAGAGGAAGGGACCATACAAGACAAGACAAAGGCTGCTCCTGCACAGCTGACTTTCAGGGTCTCTCCTGAAATGTTCTCCCCACCTCCCGCCACCTCCAAGGCAATGGTGGGAGATGGAGGCCTGAGGCAGTCACGGGTTCAGCATCTGGGGTCCTCCCTCTCCAGCTCTCAGGCTTCCTGTTAGGCTGAGCTGCTCATGCCTGACCCCATGGTGTGTAACCTGCCACGTGCCAATAAGTGTCCTTAGAGTGGCCAGCCACACGTGCTCTCTCTCCATTTATTCCATGTTTCTAAGGACCATGACAAGGGAAGCATGTCCTCACAGGAGGGACCTGAGCTGCCCAAGCTCACACTCTGGGGTGAGGTGATTCCCTGCTAGGCTTATGGGGCCACCCAGGCAGGCCCCCCTCCCAACCCCAACACACCGAAGAGTCGGCATCCTCGGACCGCAGGTGGTCGGCAATGTAGTGAACGCCTTCCAGTGCCTTCTGCATGTGGGGTGACAGCAGCAGCTCACCCTCCTGCAGCAGAGCTTCAGCCTTGGGACTTGAGGCCCCAGAGTGCAGGTGACCGAGGCTGCAGAGGGTGTCCACGGAGGGGGCCACGTGACCTGCACGCGCCCATCTGTCCTCCTCCTCCACCACCACCTCCCGCTCCTCCACATCCATGTTGGTCTCCAGCCAGTGATAAGAAGGGCTGAGCTTCAGGCCTGGAGGGTGGCAGAGCTCCAAGGGCGGTGGGGGCCGGTTCATCAGAAGCCACCGGGGCACACAGCCCAGAAGGGCCCCCCTCACCCAGCGGGGCATGGTGTGGGTGCTGGGGGAGCGGTGATGCACATTCAGCACGAAGACCGTGATGACGATAGACAGGGTGACGAAGATCATGGTGAACAGCAGGTACTCGCCGATGAGCGGGATGACCAGCGAGGTGGACGGGATGATCTCGGTGATGAGCAGCAGGAAGACAGTGAGCGACAGCAGCACAGAGATGCACAGCGTGATCTTCTCGCCGCAGTCGGAGGGCAGGTAGAAGACCAGCACGGTGAGGCAGGAGATGAGCAGGCAGGGGATGATGAGGTTGATGGTGTAGAAGAGCGGCAGCCGCCGGATGACGAAGGCGTAGGTGACGTCGGGGTAGATCTCAGCGCAGCAGTCGTACTTCTTGCTGTTGTAGGTGCCTGTGGCATTGACGATGGCCCACTCACCGCTCTCCCAGTAGTCCTTCAGGTCCACTGTCTGCTCCATCTGCTCCAGGTCGATCTTGGCCTTGTCATAGGTCCAGGAGCCGAACTTCATCTTGCAGTTCTGCTGGTCGAAGGGGAAGAAGGTGACGTCGATGCTGCAGGAGCTCTTGTAGATGGCCGGGGGCACCCAGTGCACAGTGCCCGTGGAGAAGAGGTGGGCCTTGGTCATGTGGGTCACTGCAAACTCCCCATCTGCACTGGGGAGAGGAGAAGAGCTTGGGGGACCCTTGCACACCCACCTGCCTGAGCCAGGCTGCTCAGAGAGCCGGCAGCAGGGGTCCCCCAAGAACCGAGTCAGACCTGGCCACAATGGCAGGGTTTATTTATGCAAGTATGTAAGTCTCCCCCAGCACACACAGGTATAGCCACTGAGCTGTCTTGTCAATTACTACCTTCTTAATTACAAAAGGAGGGATTGTGAGGAATAGAGGGAAGTACCAAGAATTCTAAAAACAACCACTAATAACATTTTGATGTTTATATATATAATGTAAAATAATTATATATCATCTATCAATGTATGACAAATATATAGCTTTGTGATCTGGGGTATATGTCATTTGATTGCCTGTTTTTATTCATGTAATATTTTATTTTGTTTGCAGTAAGGAAAGAGTTGAATAGACACAAGGCCAGCCACGCCATGTGGGAGATGGAGTTAGCAGTCAAAGCATGTCTTCCAAAGTTCGCAGGTTAGAAGTTTTTCAAAGGCAGTTTTGGGGAAGGGGTGGGTGTGGCTATGTGCTTGCTGCTCATTGGTTGGGGTAGGAATGACATCACGGGGGGGGGGGTCAGAGCTGTCCTGCGCATTGAAGGTTTAATATTTTAGAGTGATATCTATGTCTCTGTTTTTCTTCCCAAGCAGATGATGAGTCGGCCCCTCAGGAGAGGGACCCATTTCCACCTGGGATCATCCTTGCTCAGAAGAGACAAAACATCTTTGCGGGTGAAGGTACTCCCTTGAGTGTATCCATTTAACATGTGTTTTTGAGCCAGCCTCATCCACTAGGGCCTGTAACAGAACTGTGCAGAAGAGGAATATGAGATAAGGTCCCTGTCCTTAAGGAGTCATGAGGAAATGAGACGTCTCCAGGAACCACTGCAACATCAGGGAGGCAGTTGCCAACACTAGGAGGGTGGTCCGAGTGTTCCCTGGACGCTTTGTGGGGAAACTCCCTTCTGGAAAGTGAGCAGGGTCATGGAGAAGCCTGCCGAAGCGAGGATTTGGCTGAGAAATGGCAGAGAGCCTTACCGGTAGAGGGTCCCACAGGGACCAGGTGGGAAGTGCAAAACTCACAGGGCGTGCTGCGGCTAAGAGTAGAGGGCGAGTCGGGGGTATCATGGAACTAGGCATTGGAGGACCCACAAGGGGTCTGGGGACACTGGAATAATGGTGACCTGTTAGGCAGCACTTCCTGGAGGCCGCAGTCCCTGATTCTGCCAGGAGGTGGCTGGGGGGCTCCTGCTTAAGTCTTAACCATCCTCCCTCCCCCTCCAATTCCCACAGGCAATCCTAAACTCCAAGAAATCAGCAGAGTGCTTGGAAACACGGGGCTTTTTTTCCCCCATGGAGTAGTTTCATGGTAGAGATATAGGCAGGCTGGAAATAGGAACTTTGAAAGAGAGTAACAAATACCTTGTTTTAAAAAAAAGTATCTTTTTTTTTCTGAGAGAGTCCCACTCTGTCACCAGGCTGCAGTGCAGTGGTGCGATCTCTGCTCACTGCAACCTCCAACTTCCGGATTCAAGTGATTCTCCTGCCTCAGCCTCCCAAATACCTGGGACTAGAGGCGCGAGCCACCACACTCTGCTAATTTTTGTATTTTTAGTAGAAACGGGGTTTCACCATGTTGGCCAGGGTGGTCTCGATTCTTGACCTCATGATCTTTCCGTCTGGGCCCCTCAAAGTGCTGGGATTACAGGCATGAACCACAGCACCCGGCCAAAAAAATTTGTTTTAAGCATTTTGTTTTTCACACACAATGACCGCTAGATGGCAACATGTGCTCGTTTTGGGGAAGGAACGTTGCAAATTCTTTGAGGCCTTCCAGTTAACCTTGAGTGGGGTATCTGGGTGGAGGGGACCCTTCTCTAAACGTCAGCAAGACTTTGGCTTGGAATTTTGTCCCCCAGAAAAATTTCTTGTAATAATCAAGTAACACTGGCTGAAGTCTTATTGTTAATCTTCAAACTCAAAGTCATGTTTGATGTAGGACTTTGCTCCTGACCTCTGCCACATGTACAGGAAGCAGAAACCAGAAGGATCCTGGGTGCCAGTTATGGGCACAGAGCTATCATGGGGTGGAGAGTTTGTGAGTCCCGCAGCAGCCACAAACACTAGGTACCTGCGGTGTGAGGGCTGCCAGTGTGAGAACCTGTGATGAACATGTGTTCGACAAAATGGCTTCAGTGAAAGGGCTTAGTTCTGACCAGAACTGGACAGTGTAGAAAACCATCTGACCCACCTGAAGAGCAAAATCCAGAAATGGGTCGTTTTTCCTTTTATTTCATTCTTCTTTAAAAATAGCATTTCCAAAGTAGGATCAAATGAATTGGGAAGTGCTGGACTAGGTGGCTGTCTTTGCTGCTGAACTTCTAAAACCATTTTTTTAAATGCTATTGTGCTCTGCCATTTTCCAAAGGCCTTAGGCAGGGACGGGTGTGGGTGTTATCCTAAATTATTTGACCACAAAGCCCTTTTTCATGCCTATTTATAACTCAAGCCATCCTCCTTACAGCCCCACCTTAGAAAACATTTTTAGATGAACATAACACCATCTTTTCATCTTAACTTCTTAACTTCTAAGGGAAGAATTGCCTGATACCAAACACAGAAATGAAATCATAGATGTCTATTTATTCTATCAAAACTTCCTTTTTCTTTTTTTGAGATGGAGTCTCACTCTGTCGCCAGGCTGGAATGCAAGGGCATGATCTAGGCTCACTGCAACTCTGCCTTCTGGCTTCAAGCGATTTTCCTGCCTTAGCCTCCCAAGTAGCTGGGACTACAGGCACACATCACCACAGCCAGATAATTTTTGTATTTTTAATAGAGATAGGGTTTCACGGTGATGGCCAGGATGGTCTTGATCTCTTGCCCTTGTGATCTGCCCGCCTCAGCCTCCCAAAGTGCTGGGATTATAGGCGGGAGCCACTACGTCCGGCCCAAAACTTTTTTATTGATTTATTTTTGTCCACTGGGACTCTCTTCAGATTCCTCTCCCTTCTACCAACCTCTCGTCACTGTGGTGAAAGATTACTCCTTTTTAGTTTTGAAGACAACTGTAAAATAACATGATTGGGAGAAAGAAAACCACATAGCAAGTGGGCGCATGCCCTTTGAAGGTATTGGCCTGCTGCTGCCTGCCCATCTGCACAACACTGCCGCCCCCACGGGATTGTTCTTTGAGCCTGCACCACTTTTTTCAAAGAATACTCAGTATTGACAAATCTGTGTCCCTCTAACACAGTGCCAGGTGCTGATACCCAACGGGTGCTCAGCTGCCACTCATTTTGGTGTAGAGCAAGAACAAGAGGAAATAAATGAAGGAATGAGCAGGGGGAGACAACCTCCGCAGAGCAGTCACGAGGGAGGCGAGGAAGCTGACTCCAGGGGCACACCCCGGCAGGGGTCCTCCCATCCTCCCCCCAGGACCCCAGTGGCTTCCTACTTGTTGTAGAGGACAATGTCGGGGATCCAGATCATCTCGGAAGGGACCCGGAGGGATGTGATGTTGCCGAAATCTGCGGGGTTCCAGCGCAGTTTGTGGTCACTCCACTCCTGTGTGTGGGGAGGGACTTGTGTCAACCTCGCTTCCAGGGAGCAGCCTAGGGCAAAGCTAGCGCAGCCTGAGGACGCCCAGAGCAGAACTGGGCCGAGCAGCCCCTTTGGAGCAGCCAGGGCTCCCCATTCAGCCCGGAAGAGTGGAGGGAACTGCGGCGCTGGGAAAGGGCTCTGAGCAAGTAACCAACCTTCTCGCTTTGCCTGGAAGTTAGCCGTCCAGGTCCTAGGCACACGCAGTTCACCCTGGTCCTGCCTCTAGTCTTCGTGCTGCCTATCCCCGGCTGGACGACCCCGGCGGGCCACCTCACTCATCTCGAGTGAAGTCTCTCATTTTTAGTGCATCACACTTTATGGTTTGTTTTATACTCTTCATCTAGGAAAAGCCTCCATGGAAGAGGCAAGCAGGGAATGCATCTCCCCATTTAGCAGATGAGCAAACCGAGGACCAGAGACAGGAGAATCAACCTGCCAGAGGCATACAGCGAGGCAGGGGAGTTACCCAAGGACCTTCAAGCTGCGCTCCCAAGTGCCCCGCAGGGGTCCCACCAGACTGGGCCCCACCCCGCCTCCACCAGGGCAGGTCCCAGGCAGTGCCCCTACCTCCATCAGGTTCCTATTCTCTCTCTGTAGTCCATCTGTCAAGTTTTCAGGTCCAACCATCATTTCGAGGCACCATACCACACTGGGGTACATTAATCCTCCCAGGCATGTGGCAGTAGAATGTGTTATCCCCATTTTGCAGATGAGGAAACTGAGGCTCTGAGCAGTTACATAGCTCACCCAGTATCACTAGCCAATCAGAGGCATTGCTGATTGGCCTGGCTCAATTCCAGTACTCCTTCCTTGCCCTGCCACCCCAACCCTGAAGCCCAGGCGAGCAGCCTCTGGGGACAATTGTGGCAACCAGGTTCTAGGCCTGCCTCCCTGCATACACACACAGCATGACTGGGTAGCTTCCAAGTTCCTGCTTCCCTCTGGCCCTCAGCTGACACATCTGTAAGATGAGCCAAGTGACCCCTAACAGCACCTAGATGACGTCTTCAGAGAGAGGGAAGCCTCCAACCTAAGCGGGATCCATGCTCCCTTTCCTGAATCTAACCGGGCTTCAAGACTGCCTTGACCAGTAGTGTACAACAAGATTAATGCTGGCCCACTTTCTTTTATTTCCTGTCTCTTGGGTCCCTCACTCTGGAATCCCTGAGCCACGAGGCAAGAAGTCCGACTCCCCTGCTGGAGAGACTCTGAGGGTGCCTGAAGAGGGCGAGGGGCCCATCCGAGTCCAGCCTTCCAGAACCTTCCAGAGCCTTCCAGACATCCTTGCTAAGGGACTGATGTGTGAATTAAGCTGTCTTAGACCCTCCAGACCAGACGAACCCTCAGTCATATACCACCAAGTGATCCTAGTGGTCGCCATATAAAGCAGAAGAAACTGCCCGTACTCCTGGCTGTAAAGCTGTGAGATCCAGTGAGCTGGCAGCTACTGGGAGCCTGTAAGTTTGGGGTATTTGGGTGGCAGCACAGACATTAAGCACTCAGCATTCTCCCATAGGAGGAGCCTGGGGCTTGGGGTCAAGAACAGCTGGGCCCCCTTTTCCAGCCCAGCTGCTCTCTGCTTCCTGCTCTCCTGAGCTATAAAAGGGGCAGAATGAACCCCCACCCCCGTGGGGCTTTGGGGAGGATTCCCAAGTAACAGGGATGAACGGATGCCTGCTACCAGGGAAGCACTGCTTGGCTCTTGCAGGTGACCTTCTCAGGCACTAGACTCAAGTCCAGCCACAGAACACAGGCCTTGTGGAAAATGTCAGTTTTGGGAACACCCCACGTGGCACCTGCTTGGTAAACTGTGAGTTCAGGGTCTTGCTGCTCCCTGGTCTCTCACTAGCAAAGAAGTCCTGGGGGGCTCTGGGGTCCACGGGTTCCCAGTCCCCTCCCGCCTGGACTGAAGGAGGGGCCCTCACCTGCTTTAGCCAGACATTGGTGGTCATCATTTGGTTCTTCTCATCCTGGCCCAGAAAGAAAGAGGAGCAATTAGAGGGGTGTGCCCAGAAGACAGGGTGGCGTGGGATGGACTGTTTCAGACCCTCTGATAAGATGGACACCCCAAGCCCAGCCCACCTGACATCCACTCTGACACCCCCACCTTTACTCAGATTCTCTGGGTATCTTACTCAGATTCACACAGACACTGCTTCCAATCAACGCCCTCCTAGAAGGGGGCTCCAGAGCTGGGAGAGGGGAGGGCGTAGCAGCCCCGGGAAGAGCCGTCCCCACCGTGACCCCAGGTCACTGCTGTGCGTGAGGGCCCGGATGGGAGAGATGAAGGGACCGGGGACGCGGTGGGTGGTCTGGGATCTCTTTTTCCCGGGGGCCAGGGATGGGAGGACAGGCGCACCACGTCGATGAGCTGAGCGATGGACAGTCCGAAGCGCACGATCACCACGTCCGAGGTGTTGGGCACGGGGCGCGCCCAGCGGTTATAGCCCCGGAAGAGGTGTTTGAAGAGCCGGTCCTCAGCCTGGGTGTGGGAGCCTCCCTGCGGCAACACCGTGGGGCTGGGAGAGGAGAGGGGCTCTACGGGAGCCCTGGAAGGTGGGTGCTTGGCTTCCTCTCCACCTGCCACAAATCAGAGCCATTTAGCCTCACTGAGCCTCAGTTTCCTCATCTGTAAAATGGAGCTGCTACTCCAGAACCTGTCTCAAAACACTGTTGAGGATGGCAGATGATGGTGTCTATCAGAGCTGAGCACAGCATGAGCAGGCTGTGGAGTCAGAGCTCAGGAAAGTTCAGCTGCTTTGTGGCGTCAGAGAAGAAAAGAGTGGGAAATAGTACTGCCAGGTTTTAGGGGGGTGGCAAGAGGAAGAGGCAGAGGCTGGGAAGTGGGGAAAGCTGAATCTAGAGACAAGATTCAGCTCCACATGGAGTAGACCCATGGGGGCGGGGATGGGGAAGTGGGGGAGACACCTGGTCTAGGTGGGGGGCTGCAGGGAGAAGGGATTCAACATTGCAGTGAACCTGACCAGGGGAAGCAGTCTCCCGTTCCCACCCACTTGTCCAATAAACCAATCATGCTAACGTGGAAATTGACTGCTTTGGGAACCTCCCCAATTTTTTCTTAAACTGTAGATATTTGCTACTTCCTATCAGATAAACAAAGTGTTTCAAAATGTTTCTATGACATCGCTCATGTCAATTTTCACTGTGTTCAGCAAACAGCTTTACCCCTTCAGGGCTCTGCTGTTTAAGCAAGCCGAGAACTACAGCTCCAAATCCCAGACAAACGTGTCAGCACCATCTGTGACAGAACACTGTGTCCCGAGTGCCTCCTGTATCCTAGATGCTGGTCACAAACTTTCATTTAATCCTCACAATAGGCCAGGGAGGTCCACAACACTATTTGCGTTTTGCAGCTGAGGACAGTGAAGCTTGAAGACATTTAAGGTGACACAGACGCTCACGTTAGAGCTGTGACTGCCCCTCCACCTCTCCCAGTGGAACCAGCCACCTGGCTGGTGGCCTCTGAAGTCCCCTGCAGCTTTGACAGTTGCAACAAGTCCACCTGCAGACTCCTCCCTACAGTTTTTTTGTGAGCCGACAGGTGTGAGATGAAGTCTTACAATGACAGGTGACAGGCACTCACCTGCTGGGATCAGAAGGAGCCACCACAGGCTGAGCTTCGTGAAGGACAAAAGAGCAGGACAGGAGGGGCCCATGGCTTCCCCTGAGCATCAGGAGTTCAGATCAGGGCTTTGCTGTGGTTGCTCCTTGGACCGTGTCCCCAGCAGAGTTGCAGCTGGATTCTGCGAGGCTTCCTGTCACCACCAAACCTGAGCAAGCCCAGGAAAGGGCCCTTAGGGACATGTACTCTTGACATAGACATACTTCTATTTCTCACACTTTACACAGGCATGAAAAGTGAGCAAAAGGCCCTCAGCAGGCCTCTCAGCAGTTAAGTGCGCCTGGGCTCTCCCTGGCTTATTGGGGAATCAGCCTCTTCCTCTTTCTCCAGCGTCAGCTAGGGACTCTGCCCTAAGACCAGCCCTGACATGCTGGACAGAAGAGGGCGCAGGATCACACCAAGGTCCCCATTGCTTTGCCTCAGTGCTCCTTTGTAAAATGTGGGTAATCATACTGCAAAGAGTGGTTAATAAAAGAATCATGGTAGTATTCAGTACTATTCACAAGATTCGAAGGGTGGAAACAGCCTTTTGTCCAAACAAATGTCCATCAGCTGATGAATGGATGGACAAAAGGCAGTAAATCCTTACAAGAGAACACGATTCCACCATAAAAAGGACTGAGGCACTGCCGCATGCCACAGGGTGGAGGAACCTCGAAAGCATTGTGCACAGTACTAGAGGCCAGTCGCAAAAAGCCACACACTGAAGGTGATACTGTGAAATATCTATTTGGTCTTCGATCCTGTTTCCTGGAATACAACTCCTAAGATAGTTGGACAAAACGATGTCCTTTTGCGTGACTGGTGGCTGGGAGCCCCTACGTAGCAGCAGGATGGGGCTGGTCACAGGGAGACCAAGGCAGGATTTAAAGGGTTGGGACTTTCAGCCCCACTCCTCAAACCTCCAGGGACAGGAGAGGAGCTGAAGGTTAAGTTGATCACCAATGGCCACTGGATTAATCAGTCATGCTGCATAATGAAGCCTCCATAAAAACCCAAAAGGACAGGTTTTGAAGAGCTTCTAAATGGCAGAAAATTGGAGGTTCCTGAGGGGTGACGAGCCTGGGGAGGGTTTGGAAGCTCCATACGCCTTCCCATACCTTACCGTATGCATCTCATCACCTGTAACTTACACTCTCTTTTATATGCCAGTGTTTCCCTGAGTACTGTGACCCACTCTAGCAAGTTAGTTGAACCCAGAGAGGGGATCATGAGAACCTCAATGTATAACCAGTGGATTAGAAGCACAGGTAAAACAACCTGGGACTTGTGATCAGCATTGAAATTGGGGGGCAATGTTAGGGACTGAGCCCTTGGCCTGTGGGATCCGAGCTGTCTCCAGGTGGATGGTGTCTGAATTGAATTAGAAGGCACCCAGCTGGTCTCTGCTGCAGAATTGACTGCTGACTTGCGGGTGGGAGAAATCCCCACATCTTTGGGGGTCACAGAAGTCTTCCATGTCGATTGTTATGGAGTGAGAGCAGAGAAAAACAGTTTGCGGTTTTTTTCTACACATTGTATGATCCCACTGATACGGGATATGCAGAATAGGTAAATCTATAGAGACAGAACATAGATCAGTGGTTGCAGGGGCAGCGGGAAGGAGGGATGGGAAGTGACTGCTTAATGATCACTGGGTTTCCCTCAGCAGGGATAAGAACGCTCTGGAGCTACATGATGTGATGCTGCACAGATGTGGGAATATACAATATTCAGCAAATTGCACGCTTTAAATGGGTGCATTTTACGGTATTTGAATTATATCTCAAGAAAAGCTATTATCAAAAACATAAACACCTCCTGGATTAAGAAGCAGCAGCTAACTCTCTTGACTGTGGGAACAATGATATTTGCCAGAGATGGGGAACCAAGATGCAGAGTTCTAGTGACCAGAAGAACATGGATGTCAAAGGTGAGGGTAAACATGATGTTTCACATGAAATGAATGTTTCAGAAATGGGAGAGTTGGGGAAAGCAGTATTTTTAAATGTTCTTTTACACAGTATGTGATTTAAAACATACATACATATATATGTATCACTAAAATAACATGATTGCCTTAAAAGCTTGTACATTCAAATTAGCATTTTCTGAAACAGCACCCCGATGGGCCTCATCTTCAGGGACATGTTGTGTATGTGGCCTAGAGAGATAATAATGGCTCTCGGTACAGATAGCGGGTACGGGATTTCCTTTGGGAGGATGAGAATGTTCTGGAATTAGATAGTGGTGATGGCTGCACAATGTCCCAATTTGTACTAAATGCCACTAACAATCAATTTTATGTTATGTGTATTTTGCCACAACTTTAAAAAAAAAAAAGGGTAAAAGTGGCTTGAAAAATATAAACCAAGGGTGGGCATGGTAGCTCATGCCTGTAATTCCAGCACTTTTGGAGGCCGAGATGGGAGGAATGTGTGAGTTCGGCAGTTCAAGACCAGCCTGGGGAACATAATGAGACCTCCATCTCTATTAAAAAAAATTTAAAAATTAGCTGGGCATGGTGGCATGTGCCTGTGATCTCAGCTACTGAGGAGGCTAAGCTGGGAGGATGGCATGAGCCTGGGAAAGTCAAGGCTGCAATTATCTCTGATCATGCCACTGCACTCCAGCCTGGGTGACAGAGCAAAATCCCATCTCAAAAGGAAAATAAAAATAAAAGCAAGCCACCGGGTATGATCTGTGTAAGGCCGGTCAGTCCCCCTGAGATTCTGTCTTAAGATAAAGATCGAACACTTTCTGCCCTGCGGGAGGAGTGACGGGAGCGAACGGGATCACTTGTGCCCATGAGAGGCCCCAGGGAACTGCAGAGGGCTGGGCAGGGAGCAGGTTGCTCTTGCGGTTGTCAGGGCCCATGACCCAGTGCCATTGCACAGTGACGGTTGTGCCAAGTAGGAGAAAAGGAAGGTGGGAAGGAATGTGAATTTTAATGTGTTGGAATTGCTGGCATATACTGACTACAGCACAGACGCCAGTGTTTTGGGGGAAAGGGGCCCAAATTGAATGAAGTTTCAATTCAAAGAGTCATTGGAAATAGAGGATTACATTTCTCTCCTGTTCCCTTGGGATAATATTGCCCCGTCCACCCGCTACCTGGGATTCCTCCCTTTGCCCCAGCACATAGAGGTTCCTTGTTCCTTCCTGGCTCCGAAAATCCCCAGCTGGCAGGTGGAAAAGGCCGGTGGTTCCCGGTACATGGAGTGAGCTGCCCGAGAAAGCATCCCGCAGCCCTCCCAGGACGGTGCCCCTCCGCGGGAGAGGAGCAGGGGTCCTGGCAGTGGGAAGCTCCTCCATAAATAGGCCTAGTGCACTGGGCTAGAGCTGCCATGGCCACACAACAAACCCTGCAGCTTTACATCATGTGGAAGTAAACTCACATTGCCCTGCAAATTATGCAGAATGTTTGTACAGCACCCACCCCAGCCTGGGCATTGGCTGCTTCTGTGACTCAGGTGAACCGCAGTGGCAGGATGTGGGATCTCTGGCCCTCAAAGGTGTAGGGGCTTGTCCCCAGGGGACTTCCCCCAAGCAGGCATGGCAAAGGAAACAGCACAGCTAACTGATTTCCAGAGAGAGCTGGCATCAGCCTCTTGCTCTTTTCTCTTTTAATCTCTTCTTCACACAAATAGATCACCTGTGTTATCTCTGGGCACAGAGATTAGAGGTGATCGTTACTCTTTTTGACAGTTTTCTGCATTTTCCAAATTTCCCACTATCAGGATGTATCAGTTACTTAATATTAAAGAATTTTCGAGTGGGCAGCAATACCTACGGTGTGCTTTACATGCCCTCCCCTCATCTCACAGCAGCAGGAGCTCACCCAAACTTTGTGTAGATTTGACTCCACTCTTCCATCGCAATGGAGTTCAGTTCAGCAGTCAGCTGTGTACAAAGTGGAAGCAACTCAGGTATCCAGTGACAGATGAATGGCTAAACAAATGTGGTCTATCCATACAATGGAATATTATTTATCCTCAAAAAGGACAGAAACTCTGACCCATGCTACAACAAGGATGAACCTTGAGGGCATTATGCTAAGTAAAATAAGCCAGTTACAACAAGACAAAGACAATATGATTCCACTTATAGGAAATTCCTAGAATAGTCAAATTCCTAGAGTCAGAAAGTAGAATGGTGGCTGCCAGGAGCTAGGGGGTGGGGAGTGGGGAGCTATTGTTCAATGGGTGCAGAGTTTCAGTTTAGGGTGATGAAAAAGGTCTGCAGATGGACGGTGGTGATGTCTACACAACAATGTGGATCTTCTTAATGCGATGAACTATATATACTTAATAATGGTTATAGTGGTAAATTATATTATGTATATTTTGCTACGGTAATAATTTTTTTTTAAGTCAGCTGTGTTTATCTGGAATCACCTTAGGGCTGAGGCCCAGGAAATGGGCTCGCCACACTGATCTGAAAGGTCAAATGGGGCTTTCAGAGAAACGTGGAAATTCCTGTCGTAAGGTCGCTCCTTAAGGGTGACCACTGTCTCTTATTCACCTCCTCCCTCTGGCCCCAAGCGCAGCCCCAGATCACTCTGTGGGTTCCAGGTGTGCAGAGCCACCTGCAAAAGATATCCGGGGGGAGGAGGAGGGCTCCAAGAGCCTGCTGAAGGAGACGAAGGCTTGTCAATTTGGGGAGCAGCACTGCGTCAAATATTTGCACTCATGGCGTGATCATTTATTTTTATTTTTCCACCAACCTCATTCATGTTGTTGTTGTTGTTTCTGCTTGGACTGTTGGAGAATGGCACTACCTCACTCTTCATCAGGGCCAACAGTGAGCCAGGCACCAGGGACAAGTCACTGAGTGAGCGTGAGTAGAGAAGAACCACAAGGAAGGAAAATGCTAGAGTCTCATCCACACATCCACCCCTAATGTGGGCATGGCTTTATTCGTTTAGCCCCATTGCTTCCAAGGCCATCCAGGGGGGCCCTTTCCAGGCTTTTTACAACTCTCCACATTGGGAAGTTCTTCCCTGAGTCTGAATCTGTGTAAGCATCTGAGAGATGCTTGAGTTGAGCTGACTTGAGTTTAGAGACCCTTGTGTTGCCACCAGAGGTTAAATTTCACCAATACCCAGGGGCAACTGCAGAGCAGACGAAGCTTTTTCTCTGCTCTCCGCAATCATCCAAACACCTGACAGTCACAAAGCTACCTTTCTGGTTCCTTGTCCCTCTTCCATCCTTTCCACCCTGGAGGATTTAAGATCCTCAAAGAGTCCATGCCCTCTCCCATTTACCTGTGGCTCACTGCCATCTAGAAGTTTCACTTGCTAGTTAAAATAAAGAAGAGTTGTGAAATTCCATTGCTTACGTCTACTCTCATACAGGCTTGACATTTTTGCCAGATATTAGAACATGAGGCTGAGTCATTTCAGGGAACTAGCATTTCAGAATCCCCTTTGACGTTAATTCCTAAAAGGTCTTTTTAAGAACACCTGTATTTATGTAGTTTTCAGGTTTACGCGGCATTTTTCCAGCCTTGACCTCATTTGGGCCTCACATGAGCACTAGGAGGCTGTGAGGAAGAGATATTATCCCTTTTATGTAAGTAGAAAAACTGATGTTCTGAGAAGTTGACCAAAGCCATATAGATAAAAAGCGGTGAAGCTGAGATTCAAGCTAAGGTCTTCAGCTTCTAAACTAGAACGTGATAAATGATGATGTGGCGTGAAGAAGGAGGGCAATTTTGTATAACCAACTCAGCCTCCTGTGTTCTGTAGACCCAGCACTGTGTCTGTCATTGCTAAGCCACCATCAGGACTAAGGTCTACTGAGGCCAAGTGAGGAGAGGGCATAGGCACCTCACCCCAAAGGCAGGCCCACCTGGATCCCAGATTCTACGAGGTTCCTCTAGTGCAGATTCACATTCTCATCCAGCCAGCCAATATCACAGCTGCAGACTCCAAGACTATCATCTGTTTCACCTTTTAACCAAGCGCATTTTTTAAAAAGGATATTTTTTTTCTCCAGTAGTGAGAATAGGAATCCAGGCATGCTAAAATTGCATCACCTAGAGAACCAAAAAGAGCCACTTGAGACCCTCCAGAAGAATGTGCAAACAAGACCCAGTGACTCTAGAGGATGTATTCCCAGCAAGATGCCTCAAATCTGCATCCCCTGTGAGGAGCCCACTGTATCATTTCATTTGTCACTGGAAACCAAAGGAGGAATTTTCCAGGCGATTAACAGTAATTACAGGAAGCTTCCACCTCTGGTTAGGAAGATGTCAAAAGAAAAAGAGCTGTAGACTTTGACCCTCTCAGTGGCTGGACTGGCAGATTTGTAGAAGAGGAGACAGTGGGCTAAGGTCCCTAACTGGAAAGTGGGTCTGGGTGAATGGGGTGCACAGAGAAGCCTGTATAAAAGAGATTGCATATGGAAACTGCTGAGACATCAGTGTCCCCACTGCGCTTGTGTCACTGCTCCTGTACACCAGTGCCAGCCCACCCCCACCCCACCCCCACACTCACGCAGCACCTCCAGCCCGCCTGAATCCTGGCTCCATGGAGGTCAAGGTGATTGGAGCTCCCTTCCCTGTTCGTGGTTCTGCTGTTTGCAGCTTCCCACACATCAGGCCACACTCTCCTCTTTTCATGAACACTTCCTTCTCCCGAAAACCGGCTTCCATCCCACCTGGTTCCTCCCTGCCATCCCCGAAAGGAGAGTTCTGCCATCACAACCTCCCCAAGCGTACGGGTCTCCACTTTTTCACAACTGGCAACCCTACACCCCCAAAGAAGCCCCTCCATCAGATAAAACAGTACTGTTTCTACGTCCAAATAAGCTCACTAGAGGTGCTTAGGGGCCAGGGAGCACATTTCTAGCTTTTATATCTGCTTTGCTTAATTGCAGAAGTTTAACATCTCAGGGTTGGGTGGGATCTTGAAGGTCATCCGAACTACCACACCAGCGGAGGGAGGAATCCACTTCACAAATTCCAGCATTGGAACAAGCCCAGCTGTGAAGAACTTGAAGAGCCCTGGAAGGTATTTACCTTCTAAGCCAGTAAATAGCATCAGTGTCTGTTAATCTTTTTAGAGCACATAGTCAATTTACTGAATGAATAAATAAATGAACAAAAGAATGGACAGCAGTAATAAAGACATTGGAGCAGATACAGTATAATAAAGTCACTATTCCTGAGACTGGGCTGGCCATTCTAGCCAGGAGGTGTTCATCATCACCTGGCTGTGGACAACCCCAACAGGGACAACCAGGAGATGAAAATATTTCCGGGAGCAGGAGACATTCAGCATTCAGACATAACCGCCTCCTGAGCACCCAGAAACTGCTAATATTTGTTTGACTCCACATCCACAATCTCTTGACATGCACACCACCCCCAGCGTAAGCCTTGGGCGCCTTTCTTACCTGTGGTTACAGAAGAAGACAGGTCACTCAAAGGATGCAAAGAACCAGCCTGGCTTGGAGATTCTGGGAAGCCTACAAAAGGCACCCCAGAAATAGAGTGGCAGGTACAGAATAGAGCTCAGTCATTTCATTTCATGGGCAAACAGAGGCTGAAGCGTGAGGGTTTAGGAGACACCCCATCAAGAGGAGGACTTACTGTGACAGGCAGTTGGCTTCCCGGGGACAGCTGGGCAAGCTCTGCAGAGAAGTCGGTTTTTCTGGGGCTGCCCAGTTCTGGCAGCCAGAGAGGCTTCACGCAAGTGTCACTAAGGAGGGCAGCCCAGGCAGCCCAGCTCAAGCGATTCTGCAGGTGAAACCCAAGCCTGACCCCAGGAAGGAATGAGGGCTCAGCTCGCAAGCACACAGGCTCACGCTGCCTTCTCCCACTCTCACTCTCTCTCTCTCAATTTCTCTCTCTCTCTCTCTCTCTCTCTCACACACACACACACACACACACACACCCTCTCTGGAGGGGAAGGAGGAGGAGCCTGTGACTCTCCAGCCTGTGTCCGGTGGGGACAGATGCAGCTCTCCCTCCCTCTGTCCCGTCACCACTGTCCAGTCACGACAAATGCTCCCTTCCCTGCTGTGTGGACACGATGCTCCCTTCCCTGCTGTGTGGACACGATGCTCTCTTCCCTGCTCTGTGGACCCCTGGGCTCCAGGATCACTGCCCGGGGCCCCTGAGTGCACCCATAGGTTCTGGGTCCTGGGTCCTGGGTCTGTCTGTCAAAATAGCAGTAGAGTTTTCAGCAAACTTGGAGTGAGAACAGAGCTGCCAGCCAGCCCACCGTTCTCCCCTTCCCCTCGTTCCCTGTGGGACCCCTCCCCCGACCAACCTGGAGAACCGCAGGTCACTCACGCGGCCACCAGTGTGGCTGCTTCCCTGTCACCCCCTCGGCCTCCTTGCAGGTGACCTTGCCTTCGATTTTCCAAAGAAGCCTCCTTTTCTCCAGCGTCAGGTCAGGACTCCTGTCTCTTTCCGTGCTTGGCGAATCCTGACCGCTGTGATCTGGACAGCACCCCCTCTGTGTACAGCCCAGCCTTTCTCAAACCCTCCCTCCCCTCCCCACTTGTTCCTTCCCCTCAACCCCTAACTAAGCTCATTCCCCATCCTAAAAACACTCTTCAGTTTTGGCCTTTCCCTCAAGCTACTTGCTAGCTCATCTCCCTTAGTTTGTTAAAAGCAAGGGCCCTGGGCATGACCTGGCCACAAACTGCTGAGGCTGGATTTCTAGCTCTCTTCTTGAACATCTGCGTGATCCTGGACCAGCCTCAGCTTCCTGTGCCTCAGTTTCCTCAGATGTAAAAAGAGGATGTGGACAATGGCTCCTGATTCATAGGCTTACTAGGAGGAGTCAATTAGCACAAATAAACACAAATACACACATGCATTGTGCGTACATGTGTGCATACGATTGCTAGCATCATCTTTTGAGAGCATTAAAAGATATAAAATACCAAAAAACCATGAACATTCATATTTCCGCTCCTCAAATTAACAAATCTTAATACTTTACCATATTTACACACACACACACACACACACACACACACACATAGTATATGTGTGTGTCTATATATACATATAAAGTTAGGTGTATACATTTTCCATCTGGAGATGGAAGGAAGGAGGGAAGGAAGGAAGGGAGTGAGGGAGGGAAGGAGGGAGAGAGGCAGGGAGGGAGGGAGGGAGGAGAATATCACAAATTGTATCTATCCGGATTCTTGGTTGCAAGCAATAAAAACCTACCAATTCCTTTAAGTGAAGAATGTTTCTATTGAGGGAGAAAGGGGGGTCACAGAAGCACCTAGAAAGCTGGAGGTGCTGCTTGAAGAGCAGGGAGAAGAGGGAGGCCTCTGTCCCGTGGCCAGCGTGGTGGGCCCTGCTGCTACAGAGCTGCATGTGAACCTGGCACCATCTCGGGTGCTGCTGTCACTGCTGTCCTGGGAAGAATCAGTCCCTGCTCCTGCCGCTGCTGCCATAGTTAATTCTTCTCCAGCCCTCCTCCTTTGTGTCACTGGCTCTGCATACAACGGTCAGGACAGATGCATCTGATTAAAACCTGTGCTCCCAAACCAGATGACAGGAAGACCAAGGAAGCAGGAATCTGTGGAAGGTGGCCTCTGCCTACTTCAAGAGGGGGGACATTCCTAAATATCTGAAAGTTGTTTCAATGCTGGAAACCCGCAACCCACCCCCACCACAATCTAGCTCTTTGTCTCCTAACATCAATGCACACTCAACTTTCCATCATCACATTTTGAAAAAAAATGTTTGCACCTAATTGTCCTAAAATTTGTACCCAGAATTTGTTTTAATCAGGTATGGTAAGACATGCAGACACAGAAGTGACTGTCATAACGGAGTGAGTCTGTACTCACAGATCCCTTGACTCAGAAGGGGTGGCACATCCCCGCAAAGCCACATAGGGCCACAAGGAGCAGCACCAGGGAGTGCCAGGAGGCGGAGGCCACAATGGGGGAAGGCTGGCCCCCAGCCTGCATGGGGTTTCCCGGGAAAGCCAGGACATTGCAAGGAAGCAGCTTTCGATGAGACAGACTTCATACTCTTGGTGGGTTCTGGGCTATAGGGGTGGTGTCTGATTGCCCAGTACCTGGCTCTGAGGTGATTTGAGGCAGGAGAAATACTGGCTTGGTGTGTGAGAGTTAGACAATTAGGGCTGTTGTGGATACTGAGTCAAGATTGGGCAGAGGGTTTGTACTATGACTTTAGTGCACCTGTAAAAGCTGGCTGCAGGGGAGACGTAAGCAACGCTGGCTGTTAGTTTGGCCCCGCACATAGTGGATGTCAAACAGACAAATACAGAATCTAACAGAATGCAACCATTCCTCACACAAGCAAAAAGTCCCCCCAAACCCCATCCTCACTCCACAGGGATAGAACTCCAAGTCTCACCAGGGACCATCCAGCTCCGAGTCCAGCCTCCTGCTCTAATTCAAAACATTTGTTTGCTGCATTAAATAAAGGACAAAACTCCAAGTGGATTGTAGGTTTAGAAAACAGCCCAAGGTAACTTTACTTTGAACTCGATTAAAGTATCTACAGCAGAGAGAAGCAGCAGTGTGTACCCTTCCCTCTCAACCCTTAGTGATTAAACAGGTTTTACAAAATACAGTTGGGCAATCAAGGACTAGCAGGACGTGGGGAAGGCATAGGAATGGCAGAAACCCAAAATAAACCCTAATGAGGTCATTGTAAGTTCATTATGAGTTTAGTGATTGAAATCAGGTATAATTTATAAATTTTCACTACTACATTAGCCATCTTTTATGATTCATGCTATCGCCTAAAACATATTTCATAAACACTAAAATTAGCAGACATAGGGGTTAGGATTTACATTTCAAAAAGCTATCCAGTTCCCATAGCCCTGCTGGGTAAGCCCTTATCTCTCTGTACCTTAGTAGCAGAAAACACAGGAGAAGCATGACCCATGGGAAAGGGCAAAGCGCAGTGAAATGCAACTGAGACCTTTAATCTTTGCCTAAGCAATTCAGCCAGAAAGGACTGTAACTCACAGGCATTATAAAATATTCCAGATCAGAGCAATTTACTACTTAACCCCTCCTGAATAAATAAAAGTCCATGTGATAGCTTCATAGCTTTCTCTTAACCAAAGAGGAAAGTGAAACACATATTTCTACATTTTAAAATTTTTCTTCTCAAAAGGGACTTTATGAAAGCTAGTTCTGTAGGAGGTGTATCATTCCTCCTCACTTTACTGTTTTATAAACATACTTATGTATTCATAAGCAATACTGTGCTAGATGCAGAATTCAGAATGCAGGCAACAGAAATTACTGTAGCTGTTTGGTTTTGTTTTGTTTTCGATACGGAGTCTCACTCTGTCACCCACGCTGGAGTGCAGTGGTTCGATCGTGGCTCACTGCAACTTCCGCCTCCCGGGTTCAAGTGGCTCTCCCACCTCAGCCTCCTGAGTAGCTGGGATTACAGGCATGCACCACCATGCCCGGCTAATTTTTTGTATTTAGTAGAGACGGGATTTCGCCATGTTGGTCAGGCTGGTCTCTATTTCCTGACCTCAGGTGATCTATAGGGTCCAGCCTTACAGGGTCCAGCGAGTCCCTCCCTGCTGGTGTGGAGATGAGAAATTAGAAATAAAGACACACTATACACCGGGATAGAGAAAAGAGAGTTTGGGCCCACGGGTCCACTGCTACCCAAAAGCGTGGAGACCAGCCGTGGCCCTAAGTGCCTGGACACTCTTTTATTGAGTACAAAGCCGGGGAAAGGCAGGTAGGATGAGGTCATGGTGGTCAGTGACAGGGTCAGGTAAATCACATGTCTTGGAGATAGGGGGACTTTGAAGAAGCCCAGGGGAGGAGAAAACCTAAGGAGTCAGCACTTTTTCCATACTTGTCAAGAAATAGCAAGGTCACTATGATTTATGTTACTATTACTAATTCTTATCTTCCAAGGAAAAGAGGAACCAGGTGCAGAAGCAGAACTTGAAAGTAGCCACAGAACGTGACCGCTGAAGCGCAGCACCACATGGAGACAATTAAGTCCCCGGATGTCTGTGGGCCTCCCTGACAGCCCTCAGGCCTCCCACAAGAGCTTGGAGAACTGGAGTTTTCTCCTCGATCCTCAGGGGATGAGACGTCTTGGCCATCTTGGATGTCTCCTCCCCTGGCTGGCTAAACAGCGGGCGCTTTCTCAGTGCTGACACTGTCGCACAGCCGAGGCGTCCTCCAGCAGCCCTTTTGCGGGCGTGACAGAGGACTCAGAGCATCTTGTCTTGGGGTCACCGCTTTTCCATTGCCACTTCAGTCCCATACTTCTTGACCTGAGGCTTATTAGTAAGATTAAAGATTAGATGATTATATATGCGTATACAGTTGTATTTACATATGAATAGCTATGTGATTATATATGATCATGTATAGGAATAACTATGTAACTATATCTCTAATTTGTTTCTATGTTTATAGGAGAACATGTTGAGGCTTCAGACCCTTGCCTTGGCTCTTGTGGGGTTTTCTCCTGACAGTGATACACCCGCCTCAGCCTCCCAAAGTGCTGGGATTACAGGTGTGTGCCACCACGCCCAACCTGGAGATTTAAGAGGTTTCATACTATATAGTTCAGGTGGCAATTTGCTTTCTATTTTTTTAATTCAGTTCTACCTTTGAGATCAACTAACTTCCTGAGAAACTAGTTTGCTGTATTCCCTTCTCTACTGACCTTTCAGTCTTCAAATCCAGAGTAATCTATTGTCTACCACCAAAGGGCCCACGGAAAGTGTTCTGAAATAACCCAGTGTCATCCAAGTCCAAAATTGGACAGCTTTTTTTTTTTTTTTTCCAGTTCTTTCTGTAACATTTGGCATTGTTGGCTACTCTGCTTCTTGGGCAAGAATCTCAGAAAACACTGCTCCAGGCAGAAGCCTAGAAGAGGTTGCAAAGCTAGGGGAGAAAACAACAGCATAGCTGGCTAAGAGCAAATAGCCCAGAGGAAACCCACAGCTCTTGTCAATCTTGTTGATTACTAGATCCAGAGACTGTTGTAGACCTCCCAGCTACAGTGAGGTATCTGACAACCTCTCATAAGGTTCTGGAAGCTCCGTGGTGGAGGGCATCTTGGATAAATCCACAGAGACACATTCAAGAGTGAAGCCTCCGCTGATGGAGACCTCACTCACTCTATTTGGTCTCCACCAAAGACATGGTTTTTAATTCACGGAGCTCCACTACTCAAAGACTCCACTGTGCTCAAGGACTCCCAAAGTTTTAGTTTTCCTAGGAACATAAATGAGCCAATAGTGTGGAAATCGGTGATTAAAAACAAACACACATGTTTAGACAGAATTATTACAAGTAGCATGTACAAAAGGAAAATAGCCCACATTTAGTTCTTCTAAGCCTCAGTACTCAAGAGATTGAAATCGAAGTATTCTGGGCTGGCACACCATAGCCGGAACATCATATTTTATTCTAGAAACACATTTGCCCGGGCAAAGAAGAGCGTGCCTAGAGGAGTGGTCAGGATAGTGAGGATCTGTGATCCTATGTTCTGCATCTAGAAAATTCTCCGGATATACCAACACGCGCACACACGCGCACAATGCACACACACAGGGTCTGCGGCCTCTTTCCCAGGCATTCCAAGTCCGGCAAGTTCCCAGCGAACTGTCCGCCAGTCCAGGAAGGCTAGGGCCTGGGTCTGCCTCTTCAAGCAGCTTCTGCAGGGGCATTGGGAGCGGGCATAGGAGTCCCTGGACTTTCCTTTGAGACAGTGGAAGGCGATATCCAGAGGCAAGATTCTAGCCTGGGGTTCCCGTCTCCCTGACCTCCCTGCCTCTCCCTTTGACACCCTTTCCGCCGCCCATCCCCTTCCCCGTACTCTTTGCGGGCCGGACCTGGTCCTGCCAGGACCCGGAAAGGGGGCGGAGCCAGGTTAAGGCGGGGCGGGGAGGAGGCGGGGCCAGGGCAGGGGCG